CTTACCGTGCTTACCACAAGCGGGAGTGGGTAACTGCTTGATCTGAAGTATAGCTCGACCCTTTCCTAGGCACCGGTGGCGAGGGTGGGCGTGATGGAGTTGGGTCGGCCGAGGTGTTCGGTTGTCCAGCTGCCGGATTCACCGCGGTGCAAGAGGGGACCGCCCACTGCCTTTTGAGGGGTGGGGGTGAAACCTTAGCGTGGTGTGGATGGTTAGGGGAGGTTTATGTGGAGGGTCTTGTCACAATTTCCCCCTTTGCAGTATCATGGTGATACTTCGGGGCATGGCGACATGTGTGGAATCGTGTCTTGTGGGTACAGTTGTACACCTCTGGCCAGAGTAAAACTATTCGAATAGCCGTGCCCGCGGTTATGGGCGATCAACCAGATTCACCGTGATTAGTCTCACCCCTAGTTTAGCTTAATGAACTGGTGTAGTTCAGGTGGTTGGTTGGGCCTGTTGCAACGTGGTGTAGCGTTGGACAGTGATTGGTTAATATTGATTAATTACTACAGCTGTTTTACTGCTTTCAACTACTGTTTTGAAATGCCTGCTTTATGCAAAAGAACCCCTAGCTTCCTTTGGTTATATCCTGCATCATACCTCCTCTTCCGGTATGACTTGCTGAGTACAGTGGGTAGTACTCAGTCTTGCTCTCTTTTCCCCCACACCAGAGTTGAAGTTCTTCTTAGTTGGAGCCGTCTCAGAGAGGTTGGTTTCGTCGCTGCCGTCAAGGTTTGCCTGTGGAGTGGAGTCGCCCGCTGCTGAAGTCAAGCTTCCCGGTTTAGCTCGCTTTAATCTTTCCCGCTGCATTTGTAATCTTTTATATTTTTGTAAGATGTGGGTCTGTATGTCAACAATTGTCGTTTGTGTACCCTGGCTGGTCCTGGACAGGGATTTAATGCACATTCAGCTTAGAAATTCTGGTTCGAGAATTTCTGGGTGTGACAAATAGATACCTTGATGACCTGATCAAAGCTAGCCAGTGGCAAGTAGAATCCCAGTTTTGAGTGATTGGATTGCCAATCATGGACGGCCGGTGAGTGAGAAGAGGATGGTGCCTTGCCCTTGTCATGCTCTGATCATGCAGTTGGCCTCTGGACCAATGGAGAAAATGCATTGCCATGGAAAGGAGATGAGAAGGGTGTGGTACACTAGTAGTAGTTCAGAGGACGGCCGGCATTGATGCCATGGAGGAGCCCTCAATGATCAGGCACTCGTGTGCGAAGAAGAAAGGGGAGGCTTAGATGCAATGGCTCACACACGGTTCGTCCCATCTAAACCCTTTTCGCTCTTTTTTTCTCTCAGGGGTTGGGACATTGCATGATTTGATTCACATCTATTTCTATCAGTTGGTCCCAATTGATAGTACTGTCAAGATCATTGTTTAAGCCTTGCTGATTAGTTAGGTAATGAATAGTAGTAGTTGCACTGGTACTGTTTTTAATTAGCTTCCCTCCCCCCACACTGATCAAGAAGCACATTTTCAGAGTCCCTTTGACCATGGTGAGTGGATTCAGAAGCATCTTGTGCTCTGAAGCATGTTCAGGTTGTTATTATTCCTCTGAGACATGCCTGGAATAATGATTAGATTAGTGCTAATCCCTCTGCTAAAGAAAGATTCCTTCTCAAATCAATTACTTACAATTCGTTGCATGATGAGAGGAGAAGATGCATTGCTTGCAAAAGATCCATGTGAGCGTCATGTGGGGGCTCCATGGATGTTTCTCTGAACTCTCACGGCGTTCTGCTCATCCATCCCCTCACTGTGCTGTGGCTGCCAGGTGGGCCCCGCTCCGACACGGCGATCTGTGGTTGACCCCGGTGAGAGGATTCGTCAGTGATGCTCGAATCCATCACACGTCAGATATGAACCGTACATCCATCCATCGATCGACCCGAGCTGACGATGCAGTTGCAGACGAATCGTTCAGAATACGCACATCACATGGGAAGCAACCCATCTTTTTTTTTTTTGCTTTTTTCTTTTCTTTTTTCTCTCGTTGGTGAGTGAGAACTGAGAAGAGGAAGTTGGCTACGTACAGGAGGAGCCGTTGTACCTGAACAATAAAGATGAAGATGAGATGTGGCCTCCAAATAATTTACGTGAATGTCGGCAGAACATCCCCTGACTGTCAATACTCAATAGGTCAAAGAAATTCACCCTAGTCGACACTCAGGAGCTAAAACGAAATAGAAGGATATGCCACTCGTTTGTTTTATTGATCAAGTTTAAACTTGTTTTACTGATTGAGTTTAGATTAATATATGTATTTAAATTTGAATTGAATGATATATAGTATATATATGGTAAATATAGACGAATCATTAAAAAAATTTCTGAATCGGGTTTTTTAGCATGCACCCGTAACACATATAGTTGTGTCCCTACCGATATTGTCGATGACGTATTGAGAGAGAAAAAAAATGGACACAGCCGGCAAGAGGTAATGGGTAGCACCGCCCGCGGCCGACACAGCAGGGCCGAGGAGGATTCCGCCGCCGCCACCTCTGCGGCGGAGGCCGGCAGGTGCCACGTGACGTGCTCGCCGTCGGCAGCATGCCGCACTGTGCGTGCTACCCAGAGATGCATATGCTTCCAACACATCGGCGAGATATATATAGATCGATCTGAACCCGCAAAAAATATAGATCGATCTGAAACTCCTGCAAGAAGAAGACGATAGTAATGCACAGAGCGTATGTGTGTGCGTAGGACAGTATACGAGTAGGTAGAAGACGACGAGGGCGGATAACATGGGCGACACATGCGTGTCTAGCTAGCTCCATTCCGTGCCGTCGCTACCGATGCCTAGCTGGACAGATCCATGCGTACTCCTATGTGATATCGATCTGCGTTGTCATTTTCAGCTCCACGTGGCTTTGTCAACGTGCCAAATCGATCCAGATCCAAAACTCAAAAGAACAACAAAAAAAACTTCTTTTTACCTACACCCTCTATTCTATAAGTAAATAAGTTCATTCTTCACTTATCCCACACATACTGATACAAAATCAATAAAAACATAACACCCTTGTTTTCTTAAATCCCAATAAAATTTTTTCTCTCTTTATCTTTTGCTTATTTATTCATTTACTATTTTCATAAACTCCTATACAATAATTACTTACAAATAAACTTATTTTGAGATAATTGTAAAAAAATAAAACCACGGATCTCTTATCACTACACGATGATCAAATGATCAATTGCATATCAGATAAATGGAAGAAGCCAAGATTGAACATAATCTAGGATGGAGTGATTACCTACCCAACAAGAAGCTTTTCTTTTTCTCGTCGCCGGCCGGGCGTCACGAGCGGCCAGCTCGTCTCGTGGCGTGCATGGATGCATGCATGCTGCTCACGCGTGACCGATCGGTCCGATCGAATCGCCATTGGCGTTTGCACGAGAAAGCAACTCGCTATCACTTGCATGTGTATGTGCTGGCCTTGTGCCACGAGAAGTAGCTAGGCTGCCTGCGCCCTTGCTTGTCACATGAAGCTACACCACACCATATGATACCACCATACAGATTAAATTGCCCTAAAGAATATATTAAGCTTGAAGCTGAAGAAGCTAGCTAACCGAATGCAAACCATGTACTCCCTCCATCCCATAATATAAGGGATTTTAAGTTTTTACTTGTATTGTTTGAACACTCGTCTTATTCAACAAATTTTAGAATTATTTATTTTTTTTTGACTTACTTTATTATCCAAAGTATTTTAAACGCAATTTTTCGTTTTTTATATTTACACAATTTTTTTTAAATAAGACGAGTGGTTAAATAGTGCAAGTAAAAACTCAAAATCCCTTATATTATGAGATGAATGGAGTATTAATTAATTAATTAGACCCTTAATTAATCTGACATTTCTAGCGAAAGATAGATTACCCACAAGAAACTAAAGGATACTGTCTCATCATGGACCCCATCGATCCATCCCAGGCTAGTGAATTTAGAGGGGGTGATTATATACAGCTCTGCCTAATTGCGTGATTAACCCTAGGATTAGGAGGAAGAAGATGGTGAAGGTTCCATGTCGGCCTTAATTAATTAAAGAGAAGGAAAATGACAAGACAGGTGCTGGGCTGGACAAGTGAAGTGTATTGCCCCCAAAGAGTACAGGACGGAGAATAGACAAGATAGAAGCAGCAGGGGTGAGAGAAAATCCTGATGGATTAAGGCAGCTAACTAACGATGGAGCCTCTCTAAAATTTTGTGTTTGGCATCATCTCCATTCCAGATATTCAATAACTGAAAGCTATTTGTAGTTTTGCATATATTGCCCCCCTTCAGTCTTATCATCTAGACCTCTGACCCAACAGTTTGTTAGAAAAATTAAGGCAAAGAAACTAGTAACATGGTCGTGTGCATTACAATTTGCAAAAAACCTAATACAATTCAGGATATGAGTTGCATTAGCATATATGATTAGCGAAGGCTTGGAGTGTGAATCAAACACGAAGCACTGGCTCCAACATATCATTTTTAACTGATCGCTTAATTTTCTTGGCTAGACTAGAGCTGCGCACTTACCAATGTGGGTATGACCGTATGAGCCTACGGACAACTCCGCTTTAAAAGTAGGTTACAACAATTATTAAGTAAAATTCATGTCAAATTTGATATCCATGTTCAATAGCAATAGAAATACTAACTCTGTCTCAAAATAAATTCATATTTCACTAAGCTCATGCATACCAATACAAAACCGCGTCCGTGAAAAGAAAATATAATACCCCTATATTATCAAATCTCAATACAATCATTATTTACTTTATTTTCTCCCAATACAATTTATTTCATATTTTCACAAACTCTAATACAGTAGTTACCTAAAAATGAATTTATTTTGGGATAAATAAAAGTTGTAGGACGCATCCAACACATTTTTTATATTTTCAAAAAGTAACTGTCAGTAGGTGGGGCCCACAAGCAGAGACACGCACGCCAAGCATTAGTATTAGCAGTATGCTTCACTCTCCCTATAATCACTAATCACCCACCCCCACCACCACCACCGGCCGCGTAGTTACGCAACGAATCAATCACCCCCGCGGTGATTACCACTGCAAACACCACCACCGCCGCCGTGGGAACCGGCATTAGAAGCGAGGAGACGACTAATCAAGCCACCAAAAAAAAATTTAAGACCCCTCCCTCCTCCTTGCCGCACTCACCACCAACCTGTAATGTGAACCTGCTGCTCTGCGAGTTATCGGTGTTCATCCAGCAGCGAGAGCGGTGGCAGTGGTACTAGGAGTCTAGGACGAGTGGTGGGTACTGGTTGTACTGGTGGTACGGCGGTTTCAGCGGCGGAGTTCTCGCGGGATTGTCTCGTTCGTCTGATCCGGCGCTGGAGGACGGCGGTTGGTTTCTTTTTCTTCTGCTGCTTCGCGAGCGGGTGTGAGAGATCGGTTCCATGCGGGGGTCGCTGCTGCTGGCCTCGGGCCGTCAGGTGATGGAGAATTCCGGCTCCCCTGTTCTTCGCTTTGTTCGTGTGTGGTTTTTGGTTCTTGGGGGAGTTTGCATGGAGAGGAGAGGGTGAGGTTCTTGGGGGATTCTTGGTATTTGCTGTGATGGAAGGCGTGTTCTTGGATGCTTGGGGTGTCGGTTTGTTTGTGAGTTGGTGCCGGATTCTGCAATGCCGCGGGGTTTTGTTAGATTTGATGATTCGGTGCTCGATGAGCGTTTCTTGGTTCGTCTGGTGATTTCTTTTCTTTTTTCTTTTTCAGTTTTTGTTTGTTTGTTTGAGTTTTGAGCGGTTTTGTGGGACGGATGATTCGAAGGGATGTTGAAAAGTTCATCGGAAAGTGATTGCGCCGTAAATGTTCGATTGGGCTTTTCTTTGACAGAAAAATTCGGTTCTCTTTTCGGCTCAGCGCATCATTGCCGCTCTTGAGAAAGTGCCTCCTTTTCCCCTCGGTTTCCTGAACTTTCTGCGATGTAACTGCTCGTCTGCCTCTCGCTCTCTCCCGCTTTTTCATGCTTTTCTTTGGTAAATTCAGTTAGATTTTCGTGAGAAATTTTATTTGGGATCGTCGGTTTTTCTGACGCTTATCTGACAGTTACTACCTTTTCTCCTCTTTCCATTTCTGATGTTTTTTTTTCTTAATTTTCTCTCTCTGTCTTCATTTATCTTGCTTAGTGTCATTGGTACTGTGATGCTTGCCTGAACACGTCCTGAATTCAGCCAGTGCACAATTCGCTGAAGGCCATGCCAAGCAAAACTTGTTCTTGAGAAAGATCCTTGTTTTTACTTGTCCGATGAAACTCCCTCTCTTTTTCTATCTACCAAATGGTAGTACTTCTGAAGATGCAATTATGGGCTTAGAACAGTGGATTCAGGACTGCTAATTTTGTGGGGACTTTTGTTACACTTTCATGCTTTCACTGGTTCTTGTATTATTTCAGACTTCCATGTTCTCTTTTTGGTTTTGATTTGCACTTGCGTTTAGTTTTCTTGTTTTCTCTGTCATGTTATCATTTGGACCGCAACTGGTCCGGGTGGTTGGCATGTGAACGAATAATAACGCCACAATCTAGGTGGTTGGCATGTGTTTCTGGCTGCATGTGGTTTCGGGTTGAGTGATTCAATTGCAGATCGGGAGGTTGGAATTTCGTGTGTGTTGGAACCTTGACCCAAAAGGAAAGAATGGAGTGTTGAAAATGCTGTCATAGTGTCATGGCCTTGGTGATTCAAGTAAAATTGACTATACAAATTTTTACAGAGAGGATGTGGATGCTGGAGTTTTTATTAGGAAACTTAAAACTACTCCACTGTTGTAGAATTTTTGGCCCTTTAGGTAGTACTGAATCACTTCTAGTCGGTTGTAATTTAGTTTTGTGGGCTGTTAAGTTCCAATGCAAATGTAGGTTCGAGGTCTTTAGTGTGGTATAGTAGAAATGTTTGCTCCGAGTTATAACATGCTTTTCATCTCAAGTTTCCAGTTTTTTTTTCTGTGTGGTAAACGTCCACCTAACTGTGTGTCTGTATCATTTCAAACTTCCCTTTCAGTTGTTAGTATGTCAGATCAAATTTCAAGTGTTGATTATAATGTATTTGACTTTGCAGGGTTTGCAAGCGGAATCTACTCAACTATGACGGATTAGCCTCAAAATAAATGATGGCAGCTGAGGTTAATCAAACTTTTTTCGCGTGGTCACAAGGAGAACCAACTGAACGGGACGGTTCTCAAGTAAGTTTTCTAAGGTATTCTGGCTAGTAGTAGTAGACGACTTCATTTTAAATAAATTGTACAATGTGAGATCAATTTCAAATGGTAATGTTACACTCTGAAGTTAAAGCAATTGTAGTTCTTCGCAAAAAAAAAACACAAAAATTGTAGTTCTGTTCCTGTGAAGCCAGCAGCTAATAGTCTCATTTCCTTTCTATTTCATTGTTTACTATCCTCAGGGTGTATCTGTGTCCCAGAAAATTGATCATGGTTCCATCTCCTTTGGAAGATTCGAATTGGAGTCTCTATCATGGGAAAAGTGGTCAGTATTTTCTGATGACAAGCGTCATGAAGAATTTGGCAAATTCAATGGTTTAGTTGCACAGAAGAAGGCATATTTTGAAGAGTATTACAGGAAAATTAGAGAACTGAAGGCACAGCAGCAAAACCAGCAAACTGAACTTATTTTGGAATACAGTGGTGATGGCAGTGATTCGAGTCAGACAGGAGAATATACACAAGGTGCAGAGCTTGAAACTCCTACTGGATCTGGAACTATCGTTGATGATTATGTGGAGCAAGGTGCACATGAAACTACCTCTGAGCAAGGATTGACATGTTATGATGACCATGAAAACGAGAACTTCAATGCAGAATTCTCCTCATCCAATATTTCTTCTTCAGCTGTAGGTTTACAGCAAACTGGCCGGGATGCTAGAGAAAATGTACACGGTGATGATTCGGCTGGTAAAATGGATTTAGAGCAGCAGAATGCCATTTCTGGTCATAGTCTTGGAACAGCATATGAAGTTGTAAGGGCTCCTAAAAGAATTATCGAGAAAGACTCCAGGCTTAGATATGCTCCAAAGATAGTACCAAAGTCTGTCAAAACCTCCTCCGATAGTCCTCTGGATCGCACATCTGTTAGTAAGGTAATGAATAATAGTGTAGTACTCACTGAAGCTGCGGCCTTTGTCTTGTCAAAAATCTGCTTCTATCAGCTATTACGCTACCACTATCTGTCTGATATTATAGACTAGCAAGACTAGTGCATTAGTCCTACCTTATCGTAAATACTTTCTAGCTAACATATGTTTTGTGTTTATACACTCGAGGGCATGAATCTTTCAGTAAAGTCTTAAGAGCTTTTTCATTAATCGTTGCAGAGGCCTGATTCTCTGAAGCTTGGCATGAGTATTAACCAGAAGGCTAAGACTGACAATGATCGTTTATTGAGAGGACCAAATGTAGCGCCTCATAAGATGTCTGGATCAACCGAAAGGAACAAGCTTACAACAAAACAAACAGGTGTCAGAAGACCTTCCTCTGCATCCTCACAACGGCCCTCTGTGGGAGAGCGGCACCGGATAGCCAGGGAGAGCATAAAAAAGCCTGCTGATGTTTCCACCCCACGGCGTCCTTCCACTGCAGAAAGGCACCCTGTCACCACAGAGCGTGCAAGGAAGCAAGCCGATGTAGATACACCACGCCGACCATCTACTTCTGAAAGACGTGCTGTCAACAAAGGGAGTGCTGACATGACCACTACACATCGCCCCTCTACTGGAGAAAGACGATCTGTTACCAGGGAGAGTGTTCTGAAGATGGACGTAAGAACACCTAGCAAGACAAGGCCTACTATGACGCAACTGAAGGGTGCAACAACCACAGTGGTATGTTCTAGCACTTAACTGTAACCGAAGTTCCATCTATTCATTTATGTCGATTGACACTTTTAAGTCCATGTTTTCAGTTAAATCTGAAAAACATGATGGCATCAGATTTCTTAGAGTTTTCATCTTCATGCAGGGTATTGTTAAAAAGGCAGGCACTCCAAATGCTTCTAAAAGCATCAACATGGGAACAAAAAGGTTACTCTTATGAACATATTGAATAGACACTTGGAAGAGTTAGATTTGTGTTCAAGATTTTAATTGCATTGTTTTATACCTGATTTAATGAACAGCAATATCAGAGAACTGGAAGGACCTTCGAAAGTGGGCAGACACTCTGTTGGGTCAAAAATTACGGACCTGCAAATTGCTGGCAAACAGAAATCAAGGTGCTACTATAAATTAGTGTTGGAATGTGGCATGAATCTTTTACAATATGATTTGTAAAACATATTTTCTTGACAAAACTTATATCATTTTGTAGCTCTGTCCACCTTCCTCCACGGAAACTATTGAGTTCCAGTATTGGAGAACCAGCACTGCAAACCTTTACAAGGCCAAAAAAGAAAGATGTAAGTTGCTCAAAACTTGTATGTGATTCTTGTTATTTTATGCATGTGGCCATGAGTTGTGTGATAAAGTGCCAGTGCAATCGTTTTTGTAACCTTTGTCATATAAACGGTGTTTTAAAATTTTGCTGTCTTCTTTACTTTTGTGGTTCTAGAACCCCATGTTACCTGCTGATAGATTCCAGTAATTCAATTGTAAAATCACTTTCAATCGCCACAGCCACTTAACTCTGATTATTACGCTGCACTGACAAGTTTGTCAGTTGTGCCTGGCTGTCAGCTGAACAGAGATTTTGCTTTCTCTAGTGCTTTAGGTTCTAAGAATTTGGTTTCAATGTTATGTTTTGTACTGCAATGTTGCACCAAACCATTATACTGGACAGAAATATAGCTGAAACAAGATAAACAAGGTACTGTCAGTAACAGTTAAATTGAGTGCTAACAATGACAACAAACCTTTGTTTGGGTATTCAGGTTGCAGCGCAATCTCGAGCATCTACATCGAAGAGAGCAATGACTTTGCACACTGGAAACGTAAAGGGGAGGAGTTCAAATGTAAGACTTTCACAGCACTACATCATATTGGGATTCCTCACCTGAATCCTAAGATGTCTTTCTCTTTTCTTTCTTTTCCTGTTGCGCTTGATGTAGCTTTATTCATACCATCAGATTAGATTTTGACCTTTTGTCCACTCATTTATGCAGCCACCCCCACCACCACCTCCACCGCGTCGGCCTTCACGGACGACGAACAGACCAAATGGCAGTAACTCATCAACTGTTGGACAAAAGCCAAAGTATGATACTCATGATGAACATTCAAAAGTAATCTTATGATGCTTCACTGCAAACTACTGAATTACACCCATCCAATGCAGGGTTTCATCAGCACCAAAATGGCATTGATGCAAAGGGAGACTTTCATTCAACCTACTCTCCCGCACAAATGATGGATCTGCGACAAGTCGCACCGCTACACGAATCTTAAAGCATCGGCATTGCTGTCCACTTCCCCTGAATGATGTTTGATGTTTCTGTATATCAGTTCCTCTACTCTCTAGTGCCTCCCCCCTTCCCTTCAGAGCAAGTCCAATATAGTGTATGTAGTTACCTGTATCATATCATCAACTGCCTAGCTTTGTCGCCCAAGGAACTTAGAACAGTGCTGTACATACCTCAAATAAAATGTTTCGTCAGCTAAAGTAAGGCTACCCTGAACATGTGAAAAATCTGTGGTCTCTGAACATTGTCTGCACATCATCAGTAGTAATGGAAATCGTTCATTCTTTTCACTTGTTCTTGTCAATAATGGTTTGACTGATTCATTATTTGGCATGGGCAGTTCCATCGTATTGCCTTTAACTGATCATGAGCCTTAACGCATACTCCCTCCATTAAAAAAAAATAATCTAGGAGGAGATGTGATCTCTCTATAACAAATATTGTACTAGGAGAGGTCATATCTCCTTCTAGGTTTTTTTTAAAGGACAGAGGAAGTACTAGCGGCTAAAAAAACTGTGGATAAAATTTTAATATGCATGTTTTTTATCATCTTAAAAAGCCAAAACATTGAAAAGCAAACTACGATTTCAAATTTAGTTATAAAAACAAAAACAAAAACCCACTCTAAATTAAGTTCTAAAATTTAACATTTCAAATTAAGATTTAAAACCTTTTTGCGGGCGGGGGTGATGCTAGCAGCTAGCTCCTCGCCGCCGCGACACCGGGATCTTCCTCGTCCCAATCGACGAAGTAAAGCGAAAGAAAGAGACACAAAGAGTGGCAGGCGGCCTCGCTCGCGCATGATTAACCTTAGCTACGTCCGTCCTTACCTTCCTTCATCCACAAGGCAGTGCTGCGAAATCAAAAGGAGAGATTCAGAATCTCATATTACTTACTGCATTGCATGCATGTCCCGCGCTCTTTGGGTGCAAATGCAATTCAATCCAATGCGTGTTGGGTAATTAATTAGGGTCTCGGATCGTAGAGAAGATTTCTACCGTCCAGTGATTTTTCCAGCTAGCTTCACAAGGTGGTGGGCTAGATGATTTAGGTTCGAAGGCTCCCCCTTCTAATTATTTAATATTAGGTTTTTCCCTAGAGGGCTGCTATATAACGGAATCCCATTTTTGAACGGGATGATACCGGTTAGGTGTCAAGTCCGGTATCAGATGATACATATCAGGTATCAGACGATTCTACCACGTTTTTATGATACTTGCGAGGTATCAGATGATACCTATCAGGTATCATGCGATTCTTACCACATAGAAAGGCGATACTTGCGAGGTATCAGGTCCTGATACCTAACCGGTATCAGATGATACTTATCAGGTATCATGTGATTCTACCACGTATCAGGTGATACTTGTAAGGTATCAGGTCCTAATACCTAACCGGTATCAGATGATACTTATCAGGTATCATGTGATTCTACCACGTATCAGGTGATAATTGTAAGGTATCAGATGATACCTATCAAGTATCATGCGATTTTTGTCACGCAGAAGGTGATATTTGTGAGGTATCAGGTGATACCTACCAGATATCATGTGATTTCTACTGGGTACCAAAGCCTCGAGGTGGTCTACGGCTGTTGCCAAGAACGGATTCGTCTTTCCTGTTATTACCGAATGGTACTTGGACCTGACCTGACCTATGTGCATTTGCTCCAATGGTGATTTGCAGCACAAACAACGAGCTGTTGGAGCTGCTATGGCACAACGGCGGCATTGTGGTGCAGCCGCAGGCGGCACCCGAGGGTCGTCTCCTCCTCCGGCCGTGGCCAGAGCATCAGCGTGCTCACCACCGGCGACGAGACAGAGACCGCCGCGTGGTTCTCGAACACCCTTGACGATGCGCTAGAGAAGGACCTCTACACGCAGCTTTGGCACAGCGTCACCAGCGATGCGTTCCCGGCGGCGGCGGGGCCAAGCTCTCACCACCCTCCGACGCCGGACTTGCCACCCTCTGACGAGGCCACCGATGAGGAGCGGCATCGGGTCGAGCTAGACCGGCAACATCTATTCGACCTTCTGCGGCAGTAACCACCTCTCGGAGATGCCTTTACTTTTTGGATAAGCATGGGGACGAAGGGCGACGGGATCCCATTATTTAGCATTTCTGTTTTCCCTAATATTCCCGTTTTTTTTAAAGAAGATTTCTGCTGAAAATGCAAGTAGATCATTGCCTGTACAAACTTTCATTGATTATTCTTTCTTTCGCCTAGTAAACCACGTGATATATACTTCGTCGTTTACATCCGTTTTAGCCAGATGCACGATACGTGACCAACTCTGCCTTTGTCCCTGCGACTCGTCAATACAAGCAATCAAGCAACTACACTTTCACATACCAATTCCTTTGCTTCTGAATCTGTCCTGTTTCTGAATCTCGCCGATTTCTCATGGACCAAGGAGACCGAGTTTAGTTCCAAACTTCTTCAAAACTTCTAACTTTTTCGTCACATTAAAACTTTTCTACACACATAAACTTCTGACTTTTCCGTCACATCGTTTCAATTTCAACCAAACTTTCAATTTTAGCGTAGACTAAACACACCCGGAGACGATGAATATTCCGACAAAACCTACCCCTTTACCCCCCTCTCTCTCTCTCTCTGACGTCACATGGACGGAGCCGTGACGGGATCACGTCACGCCGTCATGGTATCCCGCCCCGCTACCCGTGGGAACGGGGCAGCGCGTGCTTTTTTCTCACCAAACCCACCCCGCGTCATCACGCTCGCTGTAAAGTGGGCCAGGGGTTGGCGTGCTGGGAGATGGGCCCCACTAGTCAGTGGGAGAGGTTTCGGTTTGGACCGGCTCGGGGGAGGAGGCGACCGGGGACCACCGCCCCCTCCTCCGCACCCGCACATGCCACGTACGCAGCGGGTGTGGGCCCGAGGTGTCAGGGAGAGCGGGGGGACGTTTTCGGTGGGCAGAAAGGCGTGGGATGGGGGGCAGTAAGGTTTGTTGGGCCCCACGTTTCAGCCTCCAGCTGGGATGGTGGGCCAGCGGGAGAGCTGTCGGTATGTTTACAATAGTTTTTTCTTGTGGAAGAGATTTTTGCTAGGCGCACACTATATTGTTTTCAATGTTTTATGTATGCATTTAGAGATGTAAACCTCCACCAACAGGAAATCCATATCTGAGGTAATATTGTTAGGCCTTGACACAATAAACGAGACTGATTAGGTGTTTTTAACCTCAGATGATAACTATGCCCATACATTTAGAAGAAAAATCTTAGACAATTTTAATAACACAAACATTTTCTTTCAAAACCATGTGCCATGTCAACTTACTAGTGCTAGATGGGTTTTTAGCTTTTCGCGCATTACAACGAAAGAATAATGTGATAAGTTGGTAGATATATGGTGTGAAATTTTCTTTCTTACTACTTAAATTTCTCTCATGTGCTTATATGTTTCATACTTAGATCAATTATCAAAAGATTATAAATAATTGGATTATATAGTATGGTTTTTGGGCAGAAGAGATCAAGAGATAATTTATATCCTTGATGAATCATCCAAAAGCTAAAAAAAAAGGACGATATATCTTCACGAGAGAAGAAAGAATTAATATAAAGTAGGGATGAACGTTTAGATATACAAGATTAGCTAACTTTTTAAATATATATATTTTATTAGCATCTACATGAATAGAATAATATCTAAGTCATTTTTATTAATATTATTTAATGAATAAAGAGTGATACTTTGGTATTGGATACGTGAAACACACATGATAAATACATATGACATAGATATAACTATTGAGCCGTTGAAATCAGTATCCAAAGACGCTAGCACATCCCTGTTATTTAAATAGGATCAAACGAGTCTGAATCAATAACCAAGGAGCTCAGGAGAACATGCCCTTCTTCTCCATCGCCTCTTTGGTCTCTTATTGTACATTTTCAATCTCACCATAAGTATCAAACACAAGATTGCCATAAAGATTATCCATCCCTTCCTTTCCTTTCCCTCTAATTTTCTTTCACACAGTCCACAACCCACAATTAAATCATGGCATGATTGCTCCGTGATATATAATGCTACACACGTCACCATGTCAATGATCCCCTTTCTTTTCCTATCAACAGCTACAACTATAAAAGCACGACCGGTACACTTCAGCATCTCCAACATCGATCGCCGGCGAAGAAAATAAAAAAAACACAACTACGCCGCGCCGGAGGAGAAGAGCCCTTTTGTTTCATATCAACCGCTACAACCAAAAAAGCATGATCGGTGCACTTCATCATCTCCGATATAAGTCGCCGGCGAAGAAAAGAAAAAAGAAACACAACTATGTTGCGCCATAGGAGAAGAACCCATTTGCCTCCTATCAACAGCTACAATAGAAATCACGACCGTCGCACTTCATCATCTCCGATATCGGTCTGCCGGTCGCCGGCGAAGAGAAGAAGAGCCACCATCAGCAGCTGTGGTGGAATGGAATCGATATGGGGGCGTGTACACCCAGCGATTACACACCCCGGGCTTGTTCCACGTCGGCTCGGGGTGGGGCCGGCCAAGGCTGGAGGCTCGGCGCCCACCGAGCCGCAAGACAACTGGAGACAGCCTGTCTCCCACCCCTCTCCCCCTCTTCTTCGCTCTGTCTCTACTCTCTCTCTCTCTCTCCTCCCCTTCTCCCCATCTCTCTCTCTCTCCTCTCTCCCCCCATTCCCCACCTCGCTTCGCCTCCTCCTCCGCCTCCGCCGCCGCCAGGGCCTCGCCCTCCCACCCCAGCAGCGCCGCCGCCGCCGCCGCCGCCGCCGCGGCCGGATCCCACGCGCGGCTCGCCGCGCCGCCCCGTTCGACCCCCCGAATCGCCGGATCCCGTCGCCGGCGCCGCCGCCGCGCCTGGGGGGGAGCTCCCACCAGGGCGCTCCCCGCTATCCTCCTCCGTCCTTCCGCCGAGGTGATTTGCTCGGAGCTTTCGCTTTCTTACTAGTTTTTTTTTGGATGGGGAGTGATCTTCTCTTACCTCGGTGGGTGCTTAATGTGCTGGTTTGAACAGTTGGTTGTGGGGGAAATGAGTAGATGTTGTGCTTGTGGGTTATCTGAGTTGGTTGGTTATGGCTTGAATTGCTTCTTATTTGGTGCTGGAATGGTTAGCTGAAGCAAGTAATGCGCTACCAGCTTAGTCATACTTAGGTGGTGTGCTTGCTAATTTAGCAGATTAAACCGGTTTTATGCGAACTGCGAATATATAGAAGTGATGGACTGTGAGCATCTTTTTTGCGGGGATAAGGTTTAGTGTGTAGTCGAATCATTCTAGCTTTGCAGGGTTCGGGCGTGAGCTTATGGGGTACTAGTAAGGAGTAAATATTTAGTTTAGTAATTTGTTGCCTCCTTAAGCAAATTTGAATTGGATTTGCTTTGCAACCACCCTTATGCGATTGCTTGATGATTGCAGTGCTGTAGAAGCTGGTCACAGTTGAAACCTGGAAGGCAGCTGAGTCTATGGTTTTTGTGGGCCATTGTGCTATCGATGCGAGTAGAGAGCATGCGTGGCAGCTGTTCTTCGGGTGATGCCCCTGACCAGAGAAGCTGCCGATGCATTCGGTGTGGCAACAATTACACTGTTTGCAATCTTCGCTGTTCTGGGCCTCTTCTGCATTTTCCAGTCAATCTATTTCCGGTTTCGGATTCGGAGAGGGGCCTTCATTCCGCTCGGATACTTTAACGGCCCTTGGGTGACTCGCATTGTTTTGATTCTGATCACCATTTGGTGGGGAGTAGGGGAGATTGTCAGATTGAGCTTCTTGAAGAGAAAGTTGTTCTCCAGCATATTATTGCAGAAGGGTGTATGCGACGCGTACATCCTTTCCAATCTAGGGTTTGCGGAGCCAAGCATCTTCTTTGCGTTTGCTTTCCTTCTTCACGGCTCGTTACAGAAGAGGGAGTTGGGCACTTTGAACCAAAGATGGAATTGGAAGACCATAGGCTACATGTTGGTTTTCTGCGTTCCGGTGTTCTTCGTGCAGGCTCTTCTCGTGTTTGTTGGGCCAACATTTGTTAAGGATGAGAACAATACACATGGAAGGAAAAAGATTGCTAAATACTTCATCCGGACATCCATGCCAGTTGGGGACACAAATATTTGCACCTATCCATTGTTTGGCACCATTTTCCTGGGACTTATAGACGCCATCCTGATGAGCTATGTCTCCTATGTTGGATCTCGGGTTTTGTCCTTGGTCATCAACAAGGCACTGCGAAGGAGGGTTTCCTTGCTGATGTTATCGGTGCTTTTCTTCCTTCCTATCAGGGTGCTTCTACTTGGGTTTTCTGTCCTGCCCCAACCAGGAGATGTAGCATTTGAAGTGATCATCTTCTTGTCATTCTTGATGATGATATCCTGCACAACCGTTGGTGTTCTCTTGCTGGTGTACTATCCTGTAGCAGATTCATTGGCTCTCCGAGAGATAGGTCAGAGGGAAATAACAGAGATGGTTCCTTATGATGATTACTACTATGAAGGTGCATCGCTTGTAGCCAACCAGAGCTTTCGAGAAATTGAACGGAACTCAGATACTTCAACGAAGCGTGGTTCCATATCTTTCCGCACTATGATCAGGGAAGACCAACTTCAGCAGGATGGTGTTGATGAAATTGGATTCTCCTCTCGTAGTGGTGCTCATATTGGATCACCCTCACCTTCAGGTTCATCCCCAAGTGCTGCAATGCCCATGCTCCCTCTCAAGGAAGTACCTAGATACTAAGAAGTATTCACCTGTTCCTTTTGCCCTTCTACTATGTTCTCCCTTTTCTTCTTCCTCTTTCTTCCTCTTACTACCTTAATGATAACAGTTTTGTGGCAATCAAAGGTTTTTGTAAAGTTTCCAAGTAGCTTGACTCATCATTAGTTTAGTACTCAAATCTCATTTATCAAAGTGGCATGTAGCTGGATGTTGCAAAGGCTGAGGAGCTGTGCATCTGGCATTGGCTGGAAAGGCTGAGTTGGAATTCACTTTTGGTTGGTTTTGCTGCTCCACAATAATATCTTAGCTAATAAATTCCACCATGGCATAGGCTGGAATGGGCCTCAGCCTTGTCCTCTATTCCTTAGCTGCTTCTCTCCATGACAGCTATGCAAGTATATATTATATTTGCTTCTTTGTGTTGAATTAAAGGTCTGCCAAGAAGAAGCTGTCAGTTATAAATAGCTTTGGGGGAAATACAGTGGTAGCATATGCTAAGCAAGGACCACCATCTTGCCAGTCTGCCCTCCATCCCTATCCAACTAACAGGTGAGCAATGAAGATTAGGCAAATGTTTGACCAAACTAAGTCAATATAGGAACTCAATTCAAATCAATTTTTGCCCACTTAGAATATATGTCCCATGAAATATACTGAAGTAGAGAGCTGGAGGAGGGGCCTGAGGCTTCATATATGGCTAAAAGATGAATCTTTACTATGTTTATCTCATTGGCTGCTCTCGTACTCTGCAAAGTTCCATGGCTCACCTGCCCTACATGCTTTGACATTGGCATAGATCTGTCCATCTGGGGATGTCTCCTTCAAAATGGATCGATCAGTGGGCAGGTGAGCTTGTTTACAATTTCCTCCCCCTGCATAGAGTGCTTAGCATGATCCAGATGCACACTGCCTGGTATCCAAAGCCCCTGTTGCTGGGCATAGTCAACTGGGACAAAATTGTCTCCTGTTTTTGTGATTGTCATTTGTCCTGTTTCTACAAGCTCTCCTCTACCCTCCCTTCTCCGGCAATTTTTCCCCTCTGCAGTTGTTTTTCCTGTCATGTTTTTTGTGCTTGTAGTAGTAGTAGAACATAGGATTCCTTAGGTTGGGGTAATATGGGTACTCGACCACTTGTGTTACTTGCCTGGTGCTGCCAGTACTGCAATGCATGTGATCTGTGTGGCTTGAAGGGATCTGTCATAATTTTAGTGGGCCTGCCGTCTTGTGTCACTTTTTATTCTCTTACAGGATGGGTCTCTTGGAATCACACTCTTCACAAACAGGAGCAAAGCGAAGTGAACGTCATAAGCAGCAGCTAGCACTCAAAACAAATTAGGGCCTTCTAATGTCCTTTCTCTGATCCCAAATTCCTAACGAAATTCTTCAGACATCTGCTGCGACCGTGCCATTTATTTCAAATTTATTTTTTCTTTCTTTTTGAAAAAAAATTACTATGCGTTTGAGCAAGTGTGGACCTAACGACGCAATGGAAGAAATACTAGAACAAGGCATGCAATCTTCTGGAGGTGTTCGTATGAGTAGAGTGTACATTCATAGGGGTAAGTGTGCGTGTTCTGGATGCCTGTATGGCTGCGTTTATGCTGTGTTTCTTAGAAAAAAAAACTTACTAGTTGGTCTCGCACAAATTGTTTTAGCTTTGGAAGAATCTTCCTAGTTGGACGCACACATGTAATCTTGCATCGGAAACATGGACAAGTGGAGACCATTTTGCTTGTTAATCTCGGCCCAAATGGTCGACATTCTCGAGTGATTTGCCTGCCGGGGTCGTGACAGCGGCATCGCCACTGTTCTTTTCGTACCCGAGCAACGTCCCCCGCACGCTATGCGGGACGCGCTGTACAACTTCTCATTCCCAATGCTGTAGCGCACGTGACGTCCAAGAGGAAGGTTGATTTCGTCTGTGGTGGCTCCTAAACTCCACTTCCACGATTCCGCACACATGTTTTCCAAACTGCTACTCAGATTTTGATATTTTGCTTATACTGTTTGATCATTTATCTTATTTAAAAAATATATTTATCTGTCGCTCTGTTTATGCATGGGATTAGTTCCCAACCCACGTCAAAGAACACAGCCAAAGAATAGCTCGCAGCTGCCCAAGTGGATGAGCTGCACATCGTCTCTTCCACGAGGCCACTGCTTATTATTACAAATTTACAACACAGTTTTGTTGCAAAGTTCACCTTACAAGTTACAAAGAGTCAGTATGAGGCTACGAGCAATAAGCTTCTCTTCATCTTAGGAAGATGGCAGCAGGGACTCTCATGCTGTGGCGTTCTTCAGGTATGCGATGAGATCAGCACGGTCCTGTGGCTGCTTCAGTCCATTGAACCCCATCTTGGCAGGAGTGTACTGCATATGCAAACAAAGAGTAATGTCCTGAGATCATATTGAATAAATGAATTGCCCTGTAATAGCTGACAAATATGTCTGAAATATTCAGCATCTGATGTGCAAGCGTTTAAGATATACCGCGTGTGTATGTGGTGGTAGTGGTAGTGGGCAAAATCATTTCATTGGATGCACTAGAGGTACTTAGCAATAGCACATAACAGTCACCGCTAGCAAGACAACTAGACAAGGTGCTCTGAAGTAGTAGACAGCGCTTTTTCTGAATATGAGATAACCATGAATAAAAGTTTAACTCTAGTTTTTCTTTGAGATCGACTCGCATCAGCTCTTGTGATGCAATGACCCTTCATGCGAATCCTGCTACTTTATGAGTTATGCCTGGGATCACAGAACCAAGAGTATCTGCAAAGACACGTAATAGAAACAAAATAGCACAATGAGCTAATTGTAGTTAATCTATACTAGCATGATGATCCGCGCATTGCAAAGGATCCCAAATTTAAAATATAAGATGCAATAAATAATTAATTATCCTCAAATTTAAAACCTATAAGTATAATTATGAGGATATTCGTAGATTTTCATTGTCACAAAATGATGGATCCAAAAGCAACTGATTTAGAATGTGATCACAAATAGGAAACATGTACACAAGAAAAAACACGGGCAATCAATATAAACATCAGAAGCTACCACTTATGAGTTCCAGGGAGGCGACTATCTTTAATTTAGGTCCACAGCGTGGCAGCGCGAGGGCATGCTGTAGAATAATCAGCAACACTAACAAAGTTCACAAAACACTATCAGTTCAAGTGACAACAAAGCTTGCAAAGTCCTCCAGTCCCCGGACTTAACAATGATCACTTCGACTGGCAACATTGGCACGGGACAACATTGCAAATGAAATATCTGGTCACAAAATGCACATCGCCGACGCACACATTTGAAGTTACACTACTGATTAGAAAACAGAAGTGATGGAAAGTTAACATTGGTCGCACCTTCTTAGGAGTAAGCAGGTAGTCATACAAAGTGTTCTCTTCCCAAATCACAGGCACTATCTTGTCGCCAGATGGGTAAGAGAAACCAGGAGCTGTACCAGATTGCCTCCCAAACAAACCGTTCAAGTTTGGCCCTGCAAAGGACAGCATTGACATTAGTAATTACATATCAGCATCTGGTTGGTAAAGAAGAAAAAGAGGGAGAATACTACACAGATGAAATGAACAGATCAAATGAATTGAACTCTGAAAAGTGTCATTGGATGAAATACACAGCTACTGCACAGAACAGTACCAGATGGAAATGGTTAAGGCCCTGTTTGTTTTAGCTTAAGATTATTGTAATCCAGATTATTCAATCAGATTACTCTAAGCTGGATTATAATAAGCTGATATAGAATAAGTTGCGAGTTGTTTGTTTCTCTGGATTATTGGAGGCATCTAAGGATAGTGGGTCTTTAGCCACTCAATAATCTAGAAAAAGCTCCTCCATAGGAGATTATTAGATTATACTAATCTGGCTTATAGATTATAATAATCTATCATAATAATCTACTCCCTCCGTTTCACAATGTAAGTTATTCTAGCATTTCCCACATTCATATTGATGTTAATGAATCTAGATAGATACATATTGATGTTAATGAATCTAGACATATATATCTATCTAGATTCATTAACATCAATATGAATATGAGAAATGCTAGAATGACTTACATTGTGAAACGGAGGAAGTACTTGTTTGTTTTGGCTTACTCATAATAATCCAGATTATAATAATCCTAAGCTGAATCAAACAGGGCCTAATAATTGACATTTCACAGACTAGCCGATAAACGAAGACTATATAACCGCCAAAGATGTATAGGATCATTAGAATTACCATTAAAACTAGCATATGTACACCTGGCCCTGAGTATACTACATCGAGAGAGAAGAGCTCAGAGAGCTTAAATGCATATTACCAGCTAACCAGCAAATCCAGCAAGATGGTCAACGCATGTCCCTCGTATGATTCATGGTGATTTCAAAAATCAAACATCAGCGACAGACACGTGCTAGCTGTAAGATCTAAGTAGCATATATTACACAAACCAACTATCTGATGGCAACCTGGAAACCCTGCCATCACGCATCAGAGCAGTAAAACGATGCAGAAACCTCCACAATCTAACAATCCTCCAACCGGACGAACACTGAGCTATATGCATTAGGTGGTTCGGTGGCTCACCATGCTTGTGGCCGGCGGCCTTGTCGACGGCATGGCAGTACGCGCACTTGGTCCTGAAGATCTTCTCGCCGGCCGCCGCGTCCCCGGGCGGCGCATCGGAGAATGTCGCCATCGCCACCGCACTCGCGGACCAGGTAGGGTTTGGGTTGACCTTGGAATGACTGATGGAGAGGGGATGGACGACGGGCCTGGTTGGGCCGCAGGCCCACGTAGAGGCCTCGAACTCGAAGCTTTTGAATTTTTAATTCGACTAGAAAAACATTATACTCTTTATTTTCGGTCAAAAACACATTTTGCTCCTTCCTTTTCAGTCTCGGTCTAGCCCACCGCCTCCCTGTGCTTAGCCTGCTTCTCTTGAACCTACTCTACAAGTAGAATGTAGGCCTAGCTCGCATAGTTGAATGCCATCTTCAACCTCCGGAATACAGTCCGTGTAGTATGATGCTAGGACCGATCCTCCTATCAAATCCGGTCAAATCTTTCTTGATCTCCTAAAATTGGTTGAGGGCTTTTGGATCACTCGATCTCCTCTTTTCATTTTTATCAAAATTGGAGCGAATCCACAAAACTGTGGGATATAAACGGTGACTTCTAAATAGAGATTGAATATGAATATGGTGAATTAAAGCGGAGCTGAAAAGAAAAAATATGTGGAAAATGATGATGGGTAGTGGAGAATTGATTTTTATAATAAATTGGAGGACGGAAAGCATGAGGAGGTTGATCGATGTGGCGGTGGTGCTAGGGTTCGGCCCAACGATGGAAAACCGAGTAGATGAAAAAAAAGAATTCTAAGCAAGTGCGCACACCCTTCCGCGTGCCAAAAAAAATATGAATAAAAAATAGGGACGGGAAAAAAGAATAAAAATAAAAAGGCGATGGCAAAATAACCGGAAAGAACGGCGAAAAAAAGATGGATGGAAAAAAGAACGAAAAAAAGCAGATGGAAAAAAAGAAAAATGGGAAAAAAAAGAAGGATAAAAGAGACGGACATATACCAAATCTGTTTTTCCGGATGGCTTTTTTTTTTTTTGCAGTCGGCGATTTATTTATTTTATTTACGGTCGGCTTTTTTTTTTACCCAGCATTTTTTGCTATTTTTTTCGTTGGTACGAATCGGACCTCTTTTCGCTGTTTTTCTTTCGCGAGATTTTTTTTACATAATGGAATATAATATCCGGCCTTTGCTCAAAAAGAACTATAGCCAATTATTAGAAAGATCCACTTCAGAAGAGAGTGTAGTTCAAGACAAGTTAAACACACCAAACAAGAGAAGAGAGGAACCAAACTGAGAAAAGCAAAACAAAATTACGGATTTTGAGGAATAGAGATTAAAATCGAAACAAGAAATTAAAACCGACTCAAACACGGATGATTTACCAAAGTACCGGAAAAAACATCTTCAATTTTTATAATAGTAGTAATTTTTGAATCTTCACATGTAAATTTTGAAAATTTATATTGGATTTGGTCTTTTTCTTGAAGATATGGTAATTTAGTGTCCATTATTGCGTTTCTTAGTTACCTTTTGCCTTTTACTGTGTCTATTGGATTTTAATCTAAAGATTAAAAATCTGCGTGATATGATTATAAAAACCTTTCGAAAGATGCATAGGTACCCCTTTTTAATTTACGTCCCCATTGTTTGGCTCGGCATATTTACAAACGAGAAGTAATTTATAAATAAAATTTTTATATATGTGTTCTTAGCGACCTAAATGTAAAGGCTGAGAAATAAACTTCGATGAAAAACCTCAATATTTGCTTCAAATTTAAGGTTAAAAATTCAAATTTTGGCTGATAAGCATAAGCATAAGCGAAAAGATGAGGCCGTTACTCTTTTTTTAAGAGGAAATTTGAATGAATTTTGAAACCATGCCAAGATATAATTAGGCATATAGGGCAGAGATTTTAGTAGCTACAGTTTCACTGAATCTTCGACTTAAACCAAATAATTCATATTGTCATCTATATTTTAAGAGTCTAAAGTTGTAAAATCTAAAAACTGAATTAAAGCTGTAAGCTTAAAAAACCCAAGTTCTTCATACTCTTATAAAAATAACATCTAATATGCTAGCTATGAATGCATCCAATAATCCTTTTTCTCACCGCTGAATGCTGATCTCGATCAAGAGCAGTCATGGCATGTACCCTTTCCCCTGTGGGGGATTACTTGGCTCCCTTAAGTTCACAGTGCCCCGCGCCGGCGGTCATCGAGCTGTCGCCGTCCTCGATGTGATGTGGAGTCGAAAGTCCATTGGAGATTTTTGGAGCAGCGAACGGCGGAGGAAGAAACGCGGCGGCGGCGCCGCGCGCTCTTTAGCAGCGCTGCGCAGGTAGCAAAGTACCGTATTAGGGCAATAGCAATAGCACTCTTTAGCAGCGCTGCGCAGGTAGCAAAGTACCGTATTAGGGCAATAGCAATACGTCTTGCATTTTGTTAGTCCTGAACTGCCAAGTAGGATGAGGACCTTCCAAGGACACAAGACTCACGGTGCGAAATCAAGGCGGGTGGAAAGGCGAGGCGAAGCCCTGCGCACTGCAATGGCCTTGATATCGTCGAAAACCGGGTGGCAGGTTTTGGTCACAGGTTCTTCATTTTGGTGGACCCATCAAGAAACGTGGCATGGAATCTTGAGTTTTGGCGGACGTGGAGAGCTCAGGCTGAATGCCAGCTCCTTGCATTGTGAACGGCCTTAGCGACAAGTTTTATCCCACCTCGACAAATTTGATGTTTTGTGACCTATACAAAAGAGTTTCCACCTCATGATGCGTTGCCTCTTCGGAGACACCTTATATTTATAGGTCACAGCATATTAGCTACCAAGTACCAACCAGTAAATTCTCACAATCTTAAGCTCCCTAAACATGATCATAATGTCATTTTAAAAGACACAGTACTAAAATATGTTGCTATATTTTTTTTATCCTCTTTGTCTATTTCTACAAGCCAAACGATCATATAATACAAGATCAAACGTCTATAATTTATCTACGAGTGGAATGTGAATTTGAAGGTTTGTACGCAACGTCTTATAAATGTCTAGAATTAACAATTCTATGGCTATTCACTTGTTGCGAGAATCTCATATATCAGTTTGTGTATGTCAGTTTATGTTGTTGGAGGCATACTAGGATATCACCACTAGCATCATTTAAAATTGTACAAAACTACGTGGAGGAAATTTGATGATGAATTTTGAAACCACACAGTAGGAATCGCGCCAGGTGCTTTGCTGCTACCCTAGAAGATACCAGGCGATGGGGCCCACCTGCCAGCCTCCGTGCGCACCACTGCCCCACACGCCGCCACGTGCCTCGTCTCCTCCCCCTCCCCTCTCCTCTCCTCCGCTTTCCTCCCTCCCTCCTCTGCTGCTCCTTCCCCTCCACGCCTTATCGCTTCCGAGCTCCCATGGCCGCACGCCCCGCGCGCTAGCTGAAGCAGCCAGCCTCGGGCCCCACCCACGCAGCCGCCGGCGCCGGCGCCGCCGCTCCCCATGAGGCAGCCGCACCTCCTCTCGCCGCAGCAGCTCTCCCCGTCCCCGGTCCTCTCCTCCCACTTCTCGCCGCCGGCGCCCGGGGGCTCGCCGGCGTGGCGGCGGGGCCGACACCACCACCACCGGCGGGCGTTCCACCCGCCGCTCTCGTCGCTGCGTGACCCCGACAAGGCCACGCTCCGCAAGGCCTCGCCCAACGTCCCCTTCCGCCTCGGCGGCGGCGGTCAGGGCGGCGGCAGCAGCAAGGACCGGCGACCCGCCGCTGACCAGGAGGAGGAGGAGGAGGAGGAGGCGGCGGAGGATAAGGGAGACGGCGGCGCGGGGGCCATCACCGGGACGCTCCTCGCCGGGGCGCTGCTGGTTGGAGTCGTAGGGGGGTTCGGGGCGGCGGGATACGTGTACAAGGACCAGATCAACACCTTCCTCACCCAGTTCTCCGGGTTCATTGATGGTAATGGCTAATCCAGCTGTGTTCTATTTGGATTGTGCTGTGAAATGCTACTGGTCTATTGCTGAAGACTGAAGTGTCTCCTTGCTAATTTTGTGCTAAAGCAAACCGGAAGCTGGATGCGAATGCTCTAGGGCAAAAACCAATGAACTAGGGCACGTCAGTGTGGTTTTCACACTTTATTAAGTGTTATGTTTCTCAAAAAGTGTATAAAATTGATTGGGTCAGCATGCTATATAAGGCTTAGTTCAACTTGCGATGTGTGCTATGTGGCAAAATAAAGAGCACATAGCTGATTTACGTATGTGCGCAATGTCTTGTTTGATCAACATAGATTTTTATTTTCCACAACTAATTGTCCTTTGTTGAATTTCTGCCTGAAATGTGACCGTACTTTGCATGGACAGGTTATGGCCCTGCTGGATATGCTTTATTTGTACTAGTGTATGCAGGATTGGAGGTATGTCCTTTTGCTAGCTAATTTTACTTTCATTGATGCTGTACAGTGTCTTCGTTTCTATAATTTTCACCTAAACTAGCTAGTCAATTACAGTGATAGTGTAAGGCTGATATTTTTGCCTTTCAGTTACACACACACACACACACACACACACACACACACACACACTTTGTAAATTTGTTGTGCCAAAATGTTTGAATATGAGTGAGTAGGCAATAGGCACTTTTGTTTTGGATAAAGCCACTTCTTGATGGAGGGCATCCATTTCTTTCTTTGTTTGATATTGGTGAACTCTGAAATAAACTAACGATCTACATTTAGCCCTGTCAACCATTTGTACAGGCTTTTGTCATATATTCTTGACATCTGGATTGGAACTTCACCTTCATAATAATACTATGATTTTCTTTGAATTCAGGTCCTTGCGATTCCAGCGATACCATTAACAATGTCAGCAGGTCTATTGTTTGGTAGTATTACTGGTACAGTTATTGTCTCAATCAGCGGGACAGTAAGTAAATCCACATCAACAGCATTCTGTTGTTAACTCTGCCTTCAGCTGCATTTTCTTATTGTGCTTTGCCAACTGTGCAGCTAGCTGCAGCAGTGGCCTTTCTTATTGCTAGATACTTTGCCAGAGAGCGAATTCTCAAATTGGTTGAAGGAAACAAGAAGTTTCTGGCAATTGACAAAGCAATAGGTGAAAATGGATTTAAGGTTGTTACTCTGCTGCGGCTTAGTCCCCTATTACCTTTCTCTCTTGGGAACTACTTGTATGGCTTGACTTCAGTGAAGTTCTTGCCTTATGTCTTGGGAAGGTTAGTTTCTACCAACTCCTGTTCTTCCATGATTCCAGTATGGCATTTTCTGTCAAACAAACAGGAACGGCAATATGGTCTCAGTATAACGACTCTACTTGGTAGTAATGCAATTTATAAGACCAAAAGGGTAGTAAAAATCATATACCCGTTAAAGATACCAATAATCCATTGCAAATCTTATATCCCTTTAAAGGGCAAAAATTGAAGGATCGTCAATAGTACCTTTTTGTCAAAACCTTGTTGGCTCAGATATCTTTCTACCATTGTCATGCAGTTGGTTGGGAATGCTTCCAGGATCATGGGCCTATGTCAGTGCTGGTGCATTTGGACGAGCTATAATTGTAAGTTCTTAAACACATTGAATTATTTTAGTTCATTGCCAGCACAAACGTACTTCCATTGCCATTTCATCCATTCTGTTCAATGAAAACCACATCTATTGAACCACAGAACTCTTTCAGCTCCTAATGGCTGATCAGTGGTATTTTTGTACTTTGTTTCTATTTTCTACGAATGCCTGTATCTTACCATATGTGCTTTCTCATATAGTATTGTATCCAATAAGAGCTGGTTCATGCCATGAATCTGGGAGTGTTTTGCAGTTTGCTGATCGCCGTTGCTTTGTAGTGAAGTGTTCAAAGGACACTTATTTTTAGATGTTTACATATCCAGAATTGCATATGTGTACGTCTTAATTCAAAGCCATGAATTCTTTACCCTTGCGATTTTCTGCCTGTAGAATTGATCCACCGCTAGTTTAGCAGTTCACATCTTCGACATTTGTATGTCTGGGGTGAGGAGAGATTTTTCATGTCATTACCGAATGATCTTGCTTGTCTTCCTTCTCTATTTGCATAATTGCATAGCAGCAGAACACATGCTATCCTTGAAATGCTTATCTGGTGGCTTGACTATTGAAATCATAACATATGGTTCTTACTGCTGCTTTTTTTACGTCAAACATGACATGGCTCTCATTTTGACAGCAAGATGAGTCAGAGATCGGTTTGGGAGGAAACAGCCAGCTACTGACACTGGGCATCGGGCTATTATTCACAGCCATTGCTGCTACATATGTAACACGACTTGCAAAGGTATTGACTTGCTATGATCTATCACACATACTGAACAAATGGGATTCGGCAGTATTTGAACATATGCTTATTTCGTTAGTGGTCACTTTGGGTTTCAATTTCTCTTTTTCGAAAGCCAATTCTAACTGTTCTTAACTATGTTATTTGCAGGATGCTGTAAAGGAGATCGATGAATAGAATGGTAGGATTCTCTAGTAAAATGCGGCCTTCTGATACTAGCATACTAGCCCATTGTACATCATCACTGTCATCTTTGATGCAATCTGATCTACTAGAAATTCAAGCAATTTTTCAAAGGACTCCCAGATGCTCGTTGGAATGCAATGCTGGTTCTCTCTCTTATGCACATGCCTAATTGCCTATAGAGTGAATCAACCAAAAATGGTCAAAGACAACACAATCGTACTAAGCTCCAGTTACCAGTAATCTCCACAAGAACATGAACCATCCTTCATGTGATGGAAGCAGTTGGAGTCTCTCAGTATGATCTCCCTGCCGTACACCTCGGCGACCATCTTGATCGCGGCGTGGCAGTCGCCGCACACCCGGAGGTTCTTGTACACGCGGATGGGCGCGGCGGCTGGCACGGCGAGGAGGCCGAACGCGACGGCGAGCCTCTCGCCGTGGTGAGCCAGCCCCATCTCCCTCCCCTCCGGCGCCTCGTCCTGCAGCGCCCACTCGGTGTCCGGCACGTGCCCCCGAGCCCGGATCCTCGCCGCCATCTCCTCCGCCTTCCGGTAGATCTCCGCCGCCCGCTGGTGATCCCTGTCCCCGGCGTGGAACACGTGCGTCACGCCGGCGACCACCACCCAGCTGCACCCGGGCTCCTTGCTGATGCCCCGCGACCTCATCAGCGCGCGCACCCTCGCCACGTCGCCCCACCGCCGCGCCCGCGAGTAGAGGTTGGACAGCATGACGTACGGCATGGCGTCCGTCGGATCCAGCCTCCACACCATCCCGGCCGCGCGCTCGGCGAGCGCCGCGTTCCGGTGAGTCCGGCACGCGGCGAGGAGGGCCTTCCAGACCGTGGCGTCCAGCTCGGCCGCCGGGCTCCGGTCGAGCAGGTCGACGGCCTCGCCGAGGCGGCCGGCGCGGCCGAGCAGGTCGACCATGCAGGCGTAGTGGTCCGGCCCCGGGGAGATGCCGTGCTCGGATTGCATGGACTGGAAGTGGGCGCGGCCGGCGTCGAGCAGCCCGGCGTGGCTGCAGGCGAAGAGCAGGCCGACGAAGGTGACGTAGTCCGGCCTGCAGCCGGAGCGGGCCATGTCGGCGTAGACGGCGAGGGACTCCCTGCCCCGGCCGTTCTGCGCGTACCCGACGATCAGCGCCGTCCACGTGATGGCGCACCGGGAGCGCATCGCGTCGAACACCGTGCGCGCGTCGCGGAGCGAGCCGGTCTTGGCGTACATGGACACGAGCGAGTTGCCGACCGAGAGGAACGGCTCGTGCCCGGACCGGACCGCCGCGGCGTGCACCGACCGGCCCAGCTCGAGCGCGGTCGAGCCGGCGCACGAGCTGAGCACGGCCGCGACGGCGAACTCGTCGGTGGCGACCCCAGCGGCGACCATGTCGCGGTAGGCGCGAACGGCCAGGCCGTGGGATCCGGCGCGGGCGAGCCCGGTGACGAGGGAGGTCCAGGTGACCACGTCCCGGCGCGGCATTTCGTCGAACACCGCCCGCGCGGCTCCGAGGCGGGACAGCTTGGCGTAGGCGTCGACGAGGGCGTTGGCGACATGGAGGTGCGACGCGAGCCCCGCGCGGAGGAGGAGCGCGTGGAGCGCCGCCGCGGGCGGGGCGCGGAGCAGCGCGGCGGAGTTGAGGATCGGCGGGAGGGTGTACTCGTCGGCGCGGAGTCCCCGCGCGCGCATCTCGGTGAACAGCGCCAGCGCCCGCCGGTGCAGCCCCGCGCGCGAGCAGCGGGAGATGGCCGCGTTGCACGCGACCAGCCCCTTCCCGCCCGGCGACGCCATCGCCGGCGCCGGCGCCGTCTACGCGATTAGAGATTATTTATCAAACTTTGTCGCTTAACGTAACAACTACTACTACGCCCTTCTCGTAATAAAAACCAAAAGAAACCAAGGCGTTTTCAACTTCTCATTCGTGCGTTCCTCCACGACGCCGGCGACCCGTCGCCGGCAGGTCGCCGGCGCCGCCGTACACCAGAGCTCAATGCCGGCGAGGCGTTCGAGAGGTTTGCTCATTTTCTTCGAATCATCCAGAAGCCAAGAATTGGTCGGGGTCCCAAGGCGGCGATGCCCACCGGAACCTTTCACTGCCTCCAGATTCTTGCCCGGAAATCTCCAAAATCCCAACCACTATTCCAAATCAAAATCAGCAACAGGCTCCATTTGCCAATTGCCATGATACGCGCTAATGGATTTGCTAAACTAGGGATTAGCTTCCGTTAAATCTGCAGGCTAACAAACCTCATCATTCCTCTGAAGACGTCGTTTCTTCAGGACAAAACAAGAGCTCGTGTGCATTCGGGTGGTTGTGAATGACACGGGTCATTCCTACAAAAACAGCAACACCTGCAGCTGGTAATTTGTTAATCTGCATGCGCCTATCTGTTGCTGGTGGCCTAACTTCGACGTTTGCTGACTTTATAGAAAAAATCGACTTTGCAAAAGAGGGTAAAAGAAGATTCTCTTTTTATCAGCTGTTTTTTTTTTCTCAGCTAAGTTGAGTAATCACTAATCAACCATAAACTAAGCACCTTTTCTGCAGAAAGCAGCAGAACTGATATAGTTTCGTATTCGTGGTGAGGTTACAGAAAGAGCTAAAAGACCGACGTGGACAGACTCTTGCCTTTCGAAGTGCCAAACTCATCTGTTTCAGGATCACTCGAAAATGGGTTGACAACAGCCAGTAATTTTGGCCAGAATATTAAAACCGCAGGAGGATTTGTTCGTTTTCTTTTGCCAATGATTGAGTAGTTCCAGTATCTCGCTCTCACTGAACATTCTGTCACGGAGTGACCAGAGAAATCAGATCCATGTAAAAAACGAAAATATCTTAAATGTGGTTTTTGACCTGCAAGAGAAATCGACAGTGAATGCGGTTCTCTATCAACGAACGCTCTGCTCGTAGCCGCCACCAACGCAGGTTCGACATGCAGGCCTCTAAAAATCTAGCTGCATTTCACATTTCATCATCCTCCTCCTGCTCGCACATTTCTTTCAATACTCGTGTTGAAATTGAGTACTCCAATGTTCACCATCTACGACAACCCGAACCCGAAAGCCACGGTAAATGGTGAGTCTAAATTATAGCAGCGAACACACATCATGAGAAATACATCTATACTTATCAAGGAAAAGAAATAAAAAATAAAACTGTTTTTTTTACATGAATATAATATATAACTGTGAGTGTAAAGGTAGTAAAACTGTACTCCCTCTAATTTTAAATATATGAAGTTATCGAATGTTTAACCATCTATCCTATTAAAACTATATATGCATCACTTATTTTGTTGTGACCTATTTTATCATTAAAATATTTTAAACATGCATATATTCTTGTATTTGTACGTTAAGATTTTAAATATAACGGATAATCAAAACGTTGTATATTTTTACAAGAAGAAGGTAGTGCAATTCTTTTTAAGTAATACAATTGGGCATTTTTATTTTTCGAGATAAATACAATTGTGTGTAGAACATAAACATTAAGTAGGAACATGTAAACCGGAAAAAAAATCATTAGTACGTGATTAATTGATTTTAGTCATTTTTAAATCAGATAAATACTAAAGTAAAATATGTCTTTATAAGAAAACAACGGGACCTAAATGGATGGTGCTTAAAAAAAAAAGAATCAGGTTCTTCCTCCCCCTCCCACCCAAAACGCTAGAATCCAAGTATCCCTTGCAAACCCGCGAATCTTCCCTTCGCTTCCCCACCCAACACGGCACAACGCAACGCTCTCCTCCCCAAATCCGACCGCCCAGGCGCCCACCGCCTCCGCCGCTCGCTTCACCCGAACCTCGCCTCGAGATGGACGGCGAAGCGGCGGACCTCAACGACTGGGAGCTTCTCCTCACCTCCCCCACCGCCGCCGATGAGGCCGCTGCGGCGGAGACGAGAGATGGCGGCGGCGATGACGAGGCGGGGGCGATCAAGTACGATTACTTCGAGCTTGGTTCGGATGTGAAGTATCCGGAGAGGGTTTCCTTCTCGAAGGAGTTGGAGGAGGAGGGGGAGGGGGAAGAGGAGGAGGGGGTGGCGTCCGGCAACGCGAGCTGGGTGGAGCCCGACCCCGACGACCTCGTCTTCCCCGGCCCTGACCGCGCGGCGCTGTGGTCGGACTCGTCGGACGACGGGGAGAGGCGGGAGGAGGCCGAGGCCACCGAGCCGCTGCCGGTGGAGGCGGCAGCGGCGGAGGTGGAGGCGGGCGAGGGCGCGGTGACGAAGGGCGGAGGGGCTGGGGCGGGGGTGGTGCGGTGGTGGCACCTGCCGATGGGCGTGCTCCGGGCGTGGGCGCTGCGGGCGGCGAGGAGCGTGTGGTCGTTGCCCGTCGCCGTCGCGCTGCTCGGCATCGCCGTGCTGGGGCGGCGCCTGTACCGCATGCGGCGGCAGAGCAAGGCCGTGGCGCGCGTCCGCCTCGTCCTCGACGAAAAGGTGAGGCCTCTCGCCGCTTTCCCGGCCATGCCCTTGCCGTGGGTTAAACACTCCAACCTTGCGCCACTGTGCTTGTGTAAGCGTCTCATTTTGTTTGTGTCATCCTGTATCATCCACATGCTGCTCGAAAATGCTACAAATATTTTTAATATTTTTCTATAAACTTGATCAAACTTATAAAGATTTGACTAAGAAAAAAAAGTCAAAATGACTTATAATTTGAAATAGAGGGAGTACCTTGTTTGATTTTAGGGTGAAAACAGCATAAAATTTCAACTTCCCTATCCATTGAAAACAAAAGGTGCAGTTCTCAAGTCTCAAACCAAACACAAACCATTTTACTTCAGGAACCTGATATTACTGGCTAAGCATGTAAGCAATAGCCAATAGGTAGCTCCTTTAGAGCCTATAGGTGATTGCATTTTTCTTTAAGCAAATTACATGAGTTAAGTATGGTTGCAAGCTGATGAGAAAATATGTAGCTCCTTGTACTAATCTTGTCGCCATCGTCCTCATAATATTGCACAAAGAATTCTTTCTGTTTGTGACTTTGTAGTTTGTACTGCCATACTAGTGGCAGGATGTGCATCGCCTACCTGTGTTTGCGTGTGCACGCGTGTATCAACGGGGCAAAGCGCTGAACTTTGACTTACTTCGAAAGATGATTAGGAGGACTTAGAGTAGAGCCTGATCACATAAGAGCATCCTGTAATATGCTTATATGAGACAAATACCATATAAGACGGTTTTCAAAAAACAAATACTATATAAGAGCAGAGCCTGCATAGGTTGCATCCTGTCGCACAGGGCATGAACCCACTTATAGGTCAAAATAAACGGGTTTGCGGCTTATTTTGGCCTATAAGTGGGTTTCACGGGTTAACCACTTATATCCTTACGCACAGGTTACAGTGGTATGTAAATGCAAGTAATTCCATAATTGTTGAATGTAATGCCATGTGATTTGTCGACGACAATTGTGCTGACCCTTAACGTTGTTCATGGTATCAGTGCGTTCCCCATTATTGCTTAGCTTAGCTCTGTGTGGATTCTTACTGTCATCTGTTCCTTAATAATTTTAATTGACTTATGCAGAAGGCATCCCAGTTCAAGGCCCAAGCATCACGCCTGAATGAATCTTTCCCAATGGCACGCCGAGCTCCGATCATGAAGCCTCTGCTTCCTGCGAATGGAGTGACCCCATGGCCTGTGCTGGGACACATCTGAGCTTGAGATCGACGGCATAGGACTAGTAATACAATTGTCCAAAGTTACTTGGCTTGTGAGCATACCATATTGGTCCCTAAAGATCTAGCCGCTATACCGCTACTTGGAGTATACACCTCTGGTTGTGGAAGGTAGTTACATTCCCACTTTATGTGGGATGCCATTTAGGCCTTCTCAGCTTTCATGTTTCTTTTGTACCTTATAATTTTCTTCTGTAGTGTTGTGTTACCATATGCGCTTGAACATTGTATCTGTAATTCTGTATATATGACAAAGTAACCATACAGATTGGGAGTTTGAAACTGTGCTCAGCTTCCTTTCGCTACTGTTAATTTAGCTGTTTCCGTGCTGATATACTCTCTGCGTCACTGCGTGTATGCTTGATTAATGAAAAGGTCGCAGATTACTTTGAATACCTAGAGGGTTGAGCCCAACTGCCCATAGCAAGTATCCCTAAGAGCAAGTTTAATAGTATAGCCCACTACTAGCTCCAAATCTTTTATAGCCAATGTAATAGTCAATTCATACAATAGTTGTTTACTATACTAGTAATACCTGGTCCCATCTATCATACACACATTACGTCTTAGAATTTGTGCTGTAGCTGGCTACAAATCTGTAGTTCACTGCTCTTCTCTCTCTTCTTTTATCTCTTTAAAATATGTTTATAGCTGGCTTATAGCATGCTATTGTACCTGCTCTAATCTGTCTCCTTTTTATTTTCTTATACCATACTCCATCCGTTTTTTAATAGATGACGCCGTTGATTTTTTCTCACATGTTTGACCATTCGTCTTATTTAAAAATTTTATGCAAATGTATAAGATATAAAATTACTATGAGTGATAAAACAACTCATAACAAAATAAATTATAATTACGTAAATTTTTTGAATAAGATGAATAGTCAAACATGTGACAAAAGTCAACGGTGACATCTATTAAAAAAGGGAGGTAGTACACAGTATAGTTTTGAGATGCAATGATCATTGAGAAAGATTAGCTTCCTGAACCGTTGAGTTGAATGCATTATGCATGTCCCCTTTCTTGCATGGGATGAAAGGCTTTCTCGTTTAAGCTATTGATACATTACATGCCAAAGGTCACTATGAAGTCTGTTCAATGTTGATGGAGATAACATGATAAAAAGAAAAATGTGTGAACCATCTCTATCTTAGTGGTCGTGCCGGAGTGGTTATCGGGCATGACTAGAAATCATGTGGGCTTTGCCCGCGCAGGTTCGAATCCTGCCGACCACGTTTTTTATTTTTTTTACTCTGGCTGTTTTGCTATTTTACTCCTGTTGTCTCACTCGGTTGTTTTGCTGGAATAATAGTCCCTTCTGTTTTTTTTATTTTTTTTACTCTGGCTATTTTGCTATTTTACTCCTGTTGTCTCACTCGGTTGTTTTGCTGGAATAATAGTCCCTTCTAGGGCAAACACAGAGGGGTGTGGGGGGCTCTGGGCAAGGCTAATGAGCGATCACCCACCCGCCCCTCCTCTATACGCTCCGTCGCCCCCCCCCTTTCTCCTCCCCTTCTTATCTTCCTACTACACCATAAATATTTTAATTTAAATTCAAAATTAAAACGGGCATATAAACTTTTGATTTATAAACTTTGGGTCTATAAACTAATATTTGAATTCAAATTTAAATTTGAATCGGGTATGTAAACTTTTGACTTATAAACTTTGTGTCTATAAACTTTAGGTGTATAAACTTTAGATGTATAGAAATACTATATATAAAAAAAATTGAATTCAAATTCAAATTTGAATCGGGTATGTAAACTTTTGACTTATAAACTTTGGGTTTATAAACTTTAGGTGTATAGAAATACTATATATAAAAAATATTTGAATTCAAATTCAAATTTGAATCGGGTATAAAAACTTTTGACTTATAAACTTTGGGTCTATAAACTTTAGGTATATAAACTTTAGATGTATAGAAATACTTTATATAAAAATATTTGAATTTAAATTCAAATTTGAATCGGATATATAAACTTTTGATTTATAAACTTTGGGTCTCTAAACTTTAGATGTGTAAACTTGAGGTGTACAAACTTTAGGTATATAAATTTACTAAAATAGAAAAGTAATGTGGTGCCAAAAAAGGAAACCAGGTGGAGGGAGGGGATCCGAATTTGATCGAGCAATCTCGGAGTGCTCCATATAATTAAATTTTACTCCTCATGTCTTACTTTACAGTTCTCGATTAGATTGGCCTTATATGTCTATGGCTATATAAAAAAAGAGAAGGGGTTGCTCACATTGTCACTTGGTGCTAGAGAAATACTAAATGATAAGAGAGTCTCACCTATATATTTTGTGTCTCCACTTTTTAGAAGTTGCATACTAATTCGCTTGCATGTTCTGCTTCTTACATCCACTCCCTGATCAATTCTCAATAAACATATGTAGTATTTGAAAATTATCCACGAAGTATATTCATTTATGAAGTACTGTTTCTCAACCACCTGGTACATTCTTTTCATGTCCTATTCAATAGAATTTTGTCATTGATTATTTACTTCATGTTTCTAATTTGTTCAAAAAAAACTTTATTATAATGTATTGATTAAACCACCTATTCTAAGCTATTTGTGAACTTTGTTTTTTATAAAATAATAATTTGTCACGCTAATCGATCGATGTTTCTAAGGCCTAAGTTCGGACCTGTTTGGTACAGCTCCAACTCCTAGATTTAGCTCTAGGAGTTGGGTCTGGAGTGGAGTTGTGGAGCTGCCTAAACCCAGCTCCACAACTCTAGTTCATTTTGTGAGAGAATTTCACTCAACTCTGCTCCTATTTTAGGTGGAGCCGAAACAGTTTGGCTGAGCTCCATCTCCAAGAGAGGTGGAGCTAGAGCTGGAGCTATGGCGCTATGCCAAACAGGCCCGTCTATTCTTCAACTCTAAACTTTAACTTACTCGTTTTCTGTTAGCACGCATTTTAAACTGTTAAATGGTGTAATTTTTTAAAAAGTTTCTATGTAGAAGTTGTTTTAAAAGGCAAATAAATCCAAATTTTAAATTTATAATAGTTAATACTTAATTAATCATATGCTAATAAGGTTTCTCGTTTTACGTGCAACAAAAAAATCCAACTCCCAAACGGGAGATCGAATGGGCTGGCTGGTTCCTAGTCAAGTGGCAACATTAGTTTATAGTAAGATAAATCTAGGAAAATCATTCATTGGAAAAAAAAGCCAAAACAAAAGAAAATGCACAACATCCAACTTCTACAGTCTTTCTAACTATTTTGACATAAATATAGGAGATTATCTGTAAGGAAAAAACAAATTCAAAGGAAATGCGCAACATGCAGATTCTAGAGGTTCTCCAACTATAAATCGCTTTTGCGAGAAGTTTAGTTCACAATTATCTTTGAAAACTTTGCTACATGTGAAGGAAATATAAAACAATAAATTAAGTAATTGAATTTATAAAAATATGAAGGACAAAAGCAGGATAAAAGTTTGCATATACACATTTTTTAATTTATGGTAGTCATATGTAAATTTATCAAACACATTTTTAAAATAAGCATGTTATAAATTTAGCAAGTTTTTTATAGGAACTTTATGGTACTAAACTAATTTATATTGAAAAACATAAAACTTAAAATATGTTTTTCACACACACTCTAAATAATATGCACCAGGTACACTAACGAGAGCGCCAACCGGCGTGCCCATATTTTAGTCATGCAAATAATTCGTGTCAATGATATAATGAGCGTAGTTGTATGAAGCATGACCTTAATTTCCCCAGCTACCCCTTGTTCAATTTTCCTACCTACTATTATCCCAACCACCACTCATTTATCATTTCTCTAAAAACTAATATTATATTCATAAAAGGTCAAAGCCACGTAACCACGTCACATGTCAGAGTTATGCATGAGTCAGATCCCAAACGTAGCAAGAGAATACAATAAAATAGTAGTTTTCACCTTAAATATCTCTAATATTTTTGCATGCCTTAATGGGTTTTTTATGTATAATGGTTTATTTTTATCTAAAGGCATAGCCAGGGTTTCACTTATAGCACGATAATCGCGCGATTATCATGGTTATCGCGCTTATCACGAGGGTACGTAGGGGAAATCGGCGATATAGTTTGGATGAATTTTGACCAAATTCAAAATTCTAGAAAAAATCGAAAAAAACTGAAAAAATTCATAGATGTAGTTGTTGATTTGTAATTGCCAATGGTGAAGAAATTATTTGAAATAGAGTAAGCTAAATTCAAATTTGAGGGCAAAACCAAAAATGGTTTACAAATTGAAAAAGGAAGAGGATATTGGGCCTTAAGTATCCTACATATTCTTCAAATTATTCTCAATTTCTAGTTTTCTACACATATTCAACCGTATTTTTAATTTTTTTTACCCTATTTATTTTACATTTACATGATTTCAGCTATACAACCCGCGATAACCGTGCGAATATCGCGATTATCGCGCTACCGCGGGGTGGCGATAACCCCGGCCCAAACGATAAGGTAAACCCTGGGCATAGCTTGGTTTTGTTCCATAGATTTTTTTTTCTTACAAATAAGCACGATGTGAACACTCTACCTCCTATGGACACCCTCGCGGAAATAATTTTTTACCAGGAAACAGTGGGGGAGTCCCCCACGGTAATTTCATTAATAAAAAGAAAAATTGTACAAATTAATTACAAGTTATCAATCCATGATTGAAGAAAAGGTTTGAAAGCTACTCTAAGCCTAGTTAAATGTAGACTTAGTTCCTCCTTGAGACTTGATTTCCACCTTGGGAGGGAGGGAGAAATACTATTAAAGATCATATCATTCCTCTGCTTCCACAGAAGCCAAGCAGCCACCAGAAAAATTTCCATAAAACAGTTTGGAGAGATATTTCTCGCGGAAACAATTAGTCGTTAGTACGAGCACCATGCCAAGTCTAAGATCTTAACATAGGTGGACAGGTTCCATGACAAGGATCATAATCAATTGAGCTACTATCACTCCACTTGCTCTACTAAATTTTGGTAGCAAATCAAACACTTGACATTTTGATAATTCTTAATATTATCTACTCATATTGCTGATATGATTTAGCATGAAATTGAACTTGTCTTTTTTAAGTTATAACTTATCAAAACTTGGAACGATTTATAAGTGTTGGGTTTGGGGATGAGGTAGGATGAGTTAGACCCATTTCTTTTTTTTAGGATGGATGATCCTATCTATCCGTTTGACATAAGGGGTGGGGTGATCATAATTTTTTATTTAAGGGATAGCTTATATGTTAGTGAGAGAAAAAAATGGGTTGGATTGGTCCGTCGGCTTTTAAGGGATATGACTAATCGGACTCTGATGGGAATATTCCCTTTCAAGACTTCTTCGCTTAATCCCCTCCAAAAGGGATCGGAGGAGATTTGAAGAGGAATAATTCCACGTCTATTGAGTTGTTGAATAAATCCTCTCAGTCCCCTCCAATCCTTCCTTATGAGATTAACTGAACAAAGAGTCTCGGGAATTATCCATTCCACCTATCCCAAACAAAACACCCTTATAGCAACCACAATGTGGTAGTAAACCAGGTAACAAGCAATTAATGTGCCCTTACTAATAAGCATCGTTTTTTGTGCTATGTTCGGTAGAAACCAAGTAAAATATGAACATTCTTATAGGAACATGGGTAGATGAGGATTGGCATGGATAATTTTTTCAGGTGAACACTGAACCCCGCCTCATTTACCACTATATTCATACAAGTATTGTGGGGAGGGTGGCACTACCTTTTGATCATGGGATCTACCTTACTATCGAAGTCAGGCAACATACATTGCACATATCCTTAAAAATCGGTTCCACCCGACCCAACCCATTTACTTTTTGAAACCAAACGTATGCTAAAAGTACTACAACCAACTGTAATTCATTTATGTATGGAATTGAAATGGTTTAGTTGGATTTTAACTTGTGTTTAGTTCACGCTAAAATTGGAAGTTTGGTTTAAATTGGAACGATGTAATGGAAAAGTTAGAAGTTTACATGTGTATGAAAGTTTTGATGTGATGAAAAAGTTCGAAGTTTGAAGAAAAAGTTTGGAACTAAACAAGGCCAAAGGAAAAAAGTAATGTTGGTGCGGTGACAAACAGGCTATAAATTTCAAATCGTAAAATCTAAATCGAGAGCGCTCTCAATTTAGTCATAATGAGCGACCCTATCATCTAATCAGCCGTTGTCCAGATATATCTTGAAGAATCTTACTTTACTATAGTACTAATTGATCAAGCAATTAGAACAAATATTCCTATCATCTATGTTTCAAATAAAATTTTCTCTTAAATTACTCATCCGATTTACAATCCGATTACACCGTTGTGTTCATAACAATTAAATCTTTACAACAAGATCTCACATGATTATATTTTGATAAAAAATCACAAATTACTTTTATAATATATCTAAATTACTTTTAGATTTCACTAAGTTACTTCTTAAATAAATATATAAAAGTAAATTCAATAAAGTTTTAAAGTAATTAACATATATTATAGAAGTTACTTTCCTTTTGTTATAAGTTACTTCTATAATATATGTAAATTACTTTTAGGTTATATTGAATTACTTTTATATGTCCAAGAAGCAACTTAGTGGAATCTAAAAGTAATTTAGATATATTACAAAAGTAATTTATATTTTTTCATCAAAATATAATCATGTGAGATCTTGTTCTAAAGATTTAATTGTGACGAACACAACGGTGTAATCAGATTGTAGATCAGATGGGTAGTTTAAGAGAAAATTGTATTTCAAGTGTAGGTAGATAGTGTTTATCATAGATAGAGTGGTAGCTAGTTTAGACACCAGCTGTGTAGCATGTCCATTTCAAATATACTCGCCTGTGTTCCCGTGCGTTGATCTCGCTCCCCCCATACAGCCATACTACTTGGCACTTTGGCAGCACAGCCAGGAGAGCGCCACGGGGGAGGAGGAGGACGCAGAAATAGAAAGCGACCAAGAGCGGTCGCCACGCCAGATTCTCTCTCTCTCTCTCTCCCCCTTTTCTCATCTTCCTCGAGACGCCCCGCCCCGCGCCCCGCGCCTCGATCCTCGCCTCCTCCCCGCATTCACTCCCCCGAAACCCTCGCTCTCTCCCCCATCCGCCGCCGCGGCCGCAAACGACGGCGGCGGCGAGGTTCGTCGGCGGGGATTGTGGGGGGGGGGGAGAAGACGACGAGGGTTTTTTTTTTATTTTTTTTTTCTGATTATCCCCCTCGCGCGGGGGGTTTTGGGCGATGGGGAGGAGGAGCAAGCAGAAGGTGGAGGATATGGCCGAGGAGCTCTGCTTCGTCTGCAAGGACGGCGGCGACATCCGCGTTTGCGACTTCAAGTGAGCTTCGCCTCCTCCCCCCTCCTCACTATTTTTTTTTGGTTCGGTTCGTGGTTTTGTGCTGTCGCTATCTCCTCTGTTGGAAAAAAAATGGTTGGAATTGAGGTTTGTTCTGTTGGGGGGAATGTGTGCAATGCGGGTTTTTGGTAGATGGTGGGTGCAGTGGCTGCTGCATGCAGAATTCAGTTCTGTGGTGCCCTTGGAAGTTGGAACAGTATCGTCGGGATCATTTCCAATCGATTGGTGACAGTGTAGCTAGCTAATTGTGCCTTGTTATGCTTTTCAGGAACTGCCTCAAGGGTTATCATCCACACTGTGTGGGGAAGGAGGAAAGCTTCCTTGATTCTGCCGAACAGTTCATTTGTGGTGAGCGCCTTTTGTTTTTTTCCCCCAGTATTTCAACCATACTTAGCTGCTATCTGAATTAGCACGACATTGCAATACCCATTATGCTGCCTGCCCATGTTTGGTTACCTCATTCATTTGGTTTGACCAAGTATCCTAAATCATGTCCTGCCTTTGTGGAATTGCCAATGCCCCTTTCTTTTTCCTAGAAAAAAAAATCGGCTGCTGGATGCTTAACCTTTCATTTATTAGTAGTGAATGGGCTTCAGTATCTTGGACAAAAAACTTGGGAGGATTAATTGCTCAGTAGTTTTTATGTAGCATAGACATAACTAAAAGGAAGGTGTTTAGCATATAATCTGTCAGAAATAAGCTGCAAAGTACTTTTGTGAGCTAGCAGTACTATGCATTTTTTGGATTTCATTTTTCTGTTCTTGGAGTGCCTCTTTCAACTTCTACCATGTGGTACAATAATGCTATTCATTCTTGAGCCTAACTTTTACTATTTGCAGAATTGCACAAATGTGTTAGCTGCAAAAGGAATTCAGAATATCATTGTTTGTGTTGTCCAAGTTCCTCTGTATGCGGTGAATGCCTTGGAAAAGTTGAATTTGCACAATTTAGGAAGCAGAGCCAGACCAAAGGATTATGCAATAACTGTTTAAAGTTGGCATTGTTTGTTGAGAAGAACTCTGAAGCTAATTCTGATGGGGTAAGTGCATGTGGATCCTTTTACAGTTTTTGAATTATAGCATTTATTTTCCATTTTTCTGGAGGTAGTACTCCCTCCATCCAAAAGTCTTGAGCCTTTTTCATTTCCTGGTTTTTCCAAATGAGATAGACATATTTGTAGTCTCCATGCATCTGAGGCTTAAGTGAAGGGGTTGTTTTATTGTTTTACAGTGCTAAATTAAATTGTTGAGTGGAACCCAAGCAACCACCTTAATACTTATTGGTTGCATGCACATATAGTTTCTTCGTCTTTGTTACATGAGGATGAGTTAATTTCTCCTTGGTCTTGATGACAAAAGAAATATGCCTTAGACCTTTGGATGGAGGGTTAAGCTTCCACCAATCCCCTGCCACTCCATGCCTGCCATTAGTCAATCCTTGAAAAAAAATTCAATGGCCTAGTACAGTAGTGCCTACCATAGGTCCATTAACCTTGTATTTATCTGTTTATTGTTCCTCTGGCATAATTTGTCTGGGTAGTTTCCACAAAAATGTCAGTTGACCTCTCCATATATCTGGTCTTTTTCTGATTACTGTTCATGTGCATCCCTAGGAAACAGTTGAATTCAGATATACGGAGAACTATCTTGTTCTGTTTAAAGACTACTGGGAAACTATTAAAGACAATGAAGGCTTGGCATTGATTGATTTGCAGCAAGCCAATATTTGTCTTAGAACAAGCTTAAGCTGTAAACAAGGAAGGGATTCAGAGAAACCCCCAGATGAAGATTACAGGGCAGATAAGAATTCATTGAGTGTTAATGATGGCGCTGAACAACCATTCCCGGTTGATGTAAAGGTCCAACCAAGTGAAGCAAAAATGTCACTGAAGAGAAAGAAGTCAAACAAGAAAACATATGTCGGTTGGGGTTCAAAAGAGCTAATTGAATTCCTGTCATGTATTGGCAAGGATACAACTAAACCTCTTGATGAATTTATACTTACTGGAGTTGTTAAGGAGTACATCCAGCAGAAGAATCTATTCAAGGACAGGAAAAGAAAATCTGTCATTTGTGATGATAAGCTTCATTCTTTGTTCAGGAAAAGAAAAGTGAAGTCAAATATGATTCTTAACTTGCTGGAAATACATCTTGCGGCAAATGCTGCTTCAGAGGATGATTTTCTCGATGATTCTGAGGATGATGAAGGCCGAATTATGAGAAAAAGGCCTTGTAATACTTTAAAGGCGGCAGAGACTTCTGAGAGGGATCCAAAGAGAAACAAGAAATGCTTTGCAGCTCTTAATCACAATAACTTAAAGTTAATTTATTTGAGAAGAACTCTAATTATGAATCTTATGGGCCAAGACACATTTGAACAGAAAGTTGTTGGAAGTTTGGTTAGAGTCAAGAATGATGACAATCATTATAGTTATCAGATGCCTAAAAAACACTACCAGCTTGGCCTAGTAACAGGTAATCAACTACAGGCAGTCTTCTCAAGTTTTGAACTTTGATGGTTTCTGTAATTTTTGTCAGGCATGTATAGCATATCTGTAGTATTGCAGTGGAAGACCAAATCATCTTTTTTCTTCATTAACCAGCAAGCCAAAAATTATTTTGTTTTCTTTTAGATGAAAACCATTTTAGTGCTACATTCATATTTCATGCATTGGCCTATATGCTGTACTATCTATCCTCCAGGAAGGATATGACTTTCTCACCATGTTGAAAACATCCATAACAGGCATTAGGAAATCTCCACAAGAATACAAGATAAAGGACAAACGTACAGATATTCTTTTATGTGTTTCCAATCTGTGGGATGACATCAAGATCTCCATGTTGTCTGAAGAGGACATAGAGGAGGTATGATTCTTTTCCTAGTGTACTGATATAAAATGGAATGAGTACTACCATTATGATCAAGTAGGCCGTTATTACTCCCATTTGATACTATAATGTAACACACATACCAAGAAATCTTAACTTTGAAGTAATATGGAGTATTTTATAATCAAACCATGATTTCCTATTTTGTGAGTTATTCTTATGGTCCTTGGGAGGTACTAGTACCTCTTGGTGCCTCCCAAGAACCACCGAAAAAAGAAACTGCCCGATTCGATGTCGTAGTAGCATGCGCATCTAGCAAGGATAAGCAAAGTCTACTCTTTTGAATATTATTAGTGTGCCAGACTAATATCGGGACAGAGGAAGTGTCTTACTTTCTTTATTCTACATTGTTCTGTCCACTCAAAATATTTCCCTGAATAGTTGATGTGGTCAAACACTTCCTTTTGCGCTCTTGATAACAGGACGAGTGTAATGATCTCCTTCTGTTGGCTAAAAAAGGACTCTTCAAAAGACCTACTGTTGTAAGTTCATGTTATGAAAAGCTTCCTTTTCCTAGTTGCAGTCCCCGACAGCAGCAATGATATATTCTGTGATGTATATTTACATATATAACTTTAGTGATGAAATAATATATTGTTTTCTGGGATTGTTTTTAACAGTGGAGACATCCTTGTTGATGTTCATGCTGATGTGCATGCCATGTTGGGTGGATCTCTTTTTATATAGTAATATAGCCCTCTCAACCTGCTGCTACTTAACTTATGCATGTTGGTCTGTCTGAGTCGCTGAATGTGCATGTGTAATACGAACTGCATGTCTACTTTTATACATGTAACCACTAACCACTTAATTTGGGTCTTATTGTGTTGCCTGGACTTGTGCATTCACACTTACATGGCTAAAACATTTATCTTCTATGTGAGTCAGCTTATTTACTTCAGTTTTCACTTATTAGTTTCTGTGAGCTAAAAAAAACAACAACAGTTTATTCAGTTTCTCGTTTTTTCTTGAGCACCGTGCAGTTGTGCATTTCTAAACTCCTCTTTTACTGCTCTGGGTCTGGATTTTTGATAGGCTGATTTAGAAGAGAAAGCTGCAAGTATACATGTGGACATCGTGAATCATGTAAGTGAACTCTGAATTGATTTCCGTGGAATTTTATTATGCTTTATTTTTGAGTTTAGAAATGGAAAGCTCAATAACAAATTGGTTGTCTGAGGCAATTTTAAAAGAGCGGAAGTGGCTTTACATCTTATTGACTGCCCTAGTGAATGACTCAGCAAGAGATCCTTAACTTCCTATCTTTAGTTCTTAACTACAAAATAAATACCCTATATAATTGACATTAGCTTGTTTTCAAACTTGTGACCTATTTTAAATTATTGCCCTTTTGATAAAAATATGTTTTGCACTTATATTTTGGTTTGATACTTAAGTATTGTCTATATCCTAATCTTGTTCTGCAGTAGGTCGAGGTACTGTCTGTTCCCTTCTCTGGAAATAATCTTGATGTTTGACTCCTTATGCTATCTTCATTCCAAATTAAATTTCTTAATTTTAGACACAGTTTGAAACCTGAAAGCAAATTGTTATAGCAAACTAAATACTTTTGTGGTTCCTACAATACAATGATTGACAAGGTTTCCCTTTTTTCAGTGGATTGATAGAGAACTTATGAGACTGGAAAAGGAGATCGAAAGAGCACATGAGAAGGGTTGGCGCCAAGAATATCCTTCCAAATTGTCTTTTATTTGTGGCAATAAACTTGTACTCCCTCCGTCCCAATATATAGCAACCTATGATGGGTCTCATCCTAGGTTGCTATATATTGGGACGGAGGGAGTAGTTGTTAAGGGTTTGTCTGATTTTCTTATTGGACTGCTGCCAGCATTTTTTCCTTGTAACATGGAAGAATTTTATTATAGTTATTCCTTGACCAACTCTATTTTAACATTGCATGAACTATTTAATAAAAAAAGACTTCTAAGCACACAAGACGAAAGACAACGTCGTCTTGCAGAGGTCCCAGAAGCTATTCCAGATACAGAAGAGAGTAAAAGGGATGAATTTGGAGTTGCTGCAAGCAACCATCTTGAAGAAAACAAAGGTTCAAAACCTTGAAATTTTGGCTCTTCTATTTTTTTTTCGTGAACGCAAATTTTGGCTCTTCTATGAAACATATTTTCCTTCCCATCTGTTTTACGCTAATAATTGTGCAAAGTGATACATCATGTAGGTGCTATTTTGCTCTTCTGATCTATGTCCATCTAGAGGTTGAAAACAGTAATTCAATTTAGAGCAAATTTCATTTTCTTATGGAAAACTATCAATGAAATACCACGAGGAAGTAGTTTCACAAAAGTACAACTATAGTTGCATACAGTGTTGCAAAACTACATTTTAAGGATAATGCAAACGTTCTTTTGTAAAACAGTATGCAACCCAATGTAAGTGTTTTGAAACTATTGTTAAAAGTGTGGTTCTTTGAATATTTTTGCATTAAAAGCATAGGATTGTGAAATTTACTCGTTTGAATATCTCATTGACTTAATTTTGCTCCTTTCTTTACCATTGTGTTTGTTTGTATTCTATACTCTCTATTTTATGCGTTGAGTTGGCAGATAGATTGGTCATGGTTATTAAACTCTTTTCTTATTTAGCTTCACAATCATCCCTGCAGAGGCATTTAAGCAGAAAAATCCTGAGACCTTACATGCATGAAGTCATTTGTTCCGTGTGATCATTTTGAAATACCAACTTGGAATTGAATTCTTTCACTAGTTATTTTCCAGTTGCAGATACAGAATGTATACATCTTGTCAAATTAATTCAATAAAAATATTATGTTTTAAAAGTTATCCTCACTTAATTCTTTACAAATATTTGGGATTTTACAGTTTTAAAAGTAAATTATGGATCTGTTACATTTTTAAAATTAATGCTGGATTTGTTACTTTTTTGAACAAATACTGGATTTGTTTGCAATACATCATGGGGGTTGCTTGACATTGGCTGCTGCTCTGCTTACCTAGGTAGAGTAGTATATAGAGTAGTACTGTAGCTAACTTGCACACACAAGATGGTTTTGTATTACAATTCACATCTGCTCTGTTTACCTTTTGAAGCTACTAATTTAACATTATTCTATGGATGTAACATATAGTTTATAGTTCTAATTGCCTCCAATACTCAGCACTCAGCAGTGCAAGAACAAACTCGAGTTCATTAGTTTCGCATGCACTAAGAGCTGTTCCCTGCAAATCTGCTGTAACCATCCATACTTGAGACTGGTGGAGGAGCATATAAGACACATCAGTAGTATGTTTTCGTTATGTCACAAAAGGGTGGCCAGCTTAAAACTCAAGTGCCATCAGGTTCTTTAGATTCTCAATTATCACAGAACAATACAGAAATCTCTACTATTATAAAAATTGAAGATGTTTTTGCTGGTACTTTGGTACGTCATCCGTGTATGAGTCGGTTTTTAAGTTCGTTCGCTTTTGGAAATACAGATCTGTAGTTGAGTCGGGTTTTAAGTGCGTTCGCTTTTGGAAATATAGAAGGAATCGTATAAGAAATCTTTTTAAATGAACTCGCATGCTAACTTGAGATGATTGGACTCCTAATTGCAGCTCATGATTTTCTAGAAAAATATATATCCAAGTGAATTTTCACAGTGAATTTCACCTTAACTAAACCGTATAACAATAATAAGATTAAAATAGTTTTCACCCGTTGCAAGGCACGGACATTTTTTCTAGTATAACTATAAAATAGCAGATCATACTGTAATCTTAGCACAGTAATTTTGCTGCAAGTTTACTGCAGCAACCGAAGGGTCATTGATGATGCCCTGCCAACTTGTATTTTAATGTAATCTTGACTTGATAAGCTTGATAAGTGGGTTTAGGCCAGTTTGTCATAATATGCTGCTGATTTTTTTGTGGCATGCAATCTACCTGTATGGACATGGATCATACGAAACACTGATTTTGTGTGTCAAAACAAGTATTAAATCCTAGTTGTAAGTAGATATATGGCATGTACAAAATTGATGCTATAATCTTTTTTTTTTCTAGAAAATAATGCTTTCGCTTTGTTTACATATATATTGTAGATCCTAATAAGTTCTTGAATTATCTGAACCACAATAATAACAAGATCGATGGTTTACAGCATTTTTCTAGTTCATATTATTGTAGTAGTTTCTAACTAGTCAAGAGTGAATGTGAGTGGTAACTCTTTCTTGTCAGCTTTGCCCATCGAGTGTTCCTTTCCATTTCGTGTATTTGCTATTAGGCACTTGTACCTTCCCCCCTAATTTGGTTGCTATTATGTAATGTAGTTTTTAGTATTATGTGGAAAGTGGAACTAATGGCGGGCTTGCTTTTGCCATTAAGAGTTCCATTCCATTTGTGGTATTTCTATTATGTACATGTACCTTTTTCCCTAAAATAGTTGCTATTATGTACTGTAGTTTTTTTTTTGTTATTATGTGGAATTTGTAACTGATAGCAGGTTTGCTTGCTCTCTTTTAACACTGAGACCTTATTAAGAGTTATCTTTTATCATCTCCAGGTGCAACAGGGCATGTACCTAATTCTGTGAAAGTTCTAATGGAGGATTCACGAGGTTTGTTTTCATAACAATCAGATATGGTCTGTGCAGTTAATGCTTAGAAGAATAACTGTACTTTGTGCTTGACATTTAATAAATTGCTATTCACATCTCTTATCTTTCCCTTGTAGGCTAGTTGTTATTTTGAACTTGGTCGTTAGTATTAGATAGAACTAAAGCACTTGCTCTATTTTAACACTGAGACCTTAATAAGAGTTTTACTTCTCTCATCTCCAGGTGCAACAGGGCATATAGCTGATTCTGTGAAAGTACTTATGGAGGGTTTACCAGGAGGTTTGTTTTCTAGCAATCAGATATGTACTGTGCAGCTAATGCTTAGAAGATAACTGTACTTCTGTACTTTGTGTTTGTTCTGCATTTCTGCAAATGTTTGGTTCAAGGTGCACCTAATGATTTGTCAGTATGGTTATAGTCCTTTCCCCCCTCTTCGTGCTTCGGGGGAAGGTTTTGGGGGGGGGGGGATTTGCTATTTGTTACTCTTGTCTTTCCCTCATACATTGGTTGTTATTTTGAACTTAGTTGCTAGTATTAGAGTGAACCAATGGAGGTCACATTATTTTTTATGTGCTGAGATCTGCGCCCTTGTCTCCAGGTGCAACAGCACGAGTAGCTGATGTTTTCAATGTTGATATGGCTAAATCACAAGGTTTGTATTACTAAATCAGTCATGATTTTTTTGCGGTAGTTGACACTTTTCTGAATATTTCTACCTATATTCACTATGTTTACTTCATTATTTGTTTTTTACAAGTTTTATCTAAGCTTTTGTTTGAGCTTTTTTCTCTCCTCATGTTTCATTGTATCTGATATTATTTTGAACTTCAGTTGTTAGCAGTAGATGGAACAGCCTCAGCCCAGCCTGCTCTCTTTTTAAATTCTAAGTCGCTGCCTATCCTTCTTATTTCTAAGTGCAAAAATGCAAGTAGCTGAACCTTTGAAAGTTGCTATAGAGAAATCACCGGAAGGTTTTGTTTCATGTCAGTGTGATTGGTGCTTTGTTTTGATCATGTCTCTACCTTATCTAATATTTCCAAATGATCATGTTTTGCCCCTTTTCTCCTCAAATATCTTTTCTTTGGAACAGATTAATCTTGATTCTTGAGATAGATGTAACTAATGATGTTTTACCTTCTTTAATTTCTTTGTTCAAGATGCATCAGGGCAAGTAACTGATTACTTGGAGGTTGTTGAAGAGGAAACTCCAGAAGGTTATTCTGCGCCTCTGCCTTTTCTCAAATATTTTTTCTTCGAACAGATTAATCTTGATATGGATGTAACCAATGGAAGGTTTTATCTCCTTTCCTTTTTCGGCTTCAGATGCATCAGGACAAGTAGCTGATATCTTGGACGTTGTTGAAGAGGAACCTCCAGAAGGTTATTCTGTGCCTCTGCCTTCTCCTCAAATATTTTTTCTTCAAACAGAATAATCTTGATATAGATGCAACCAATGGAAGGTTTTATCTCCTTTTCTTTTTGGGCTTCAGATGCATCAGGACAAGTAGCTGATATCTTGGAGCTTGTTGAAGAGGAAACTTCAGAAGGTTATTCTGTGCCTCTGCCTTTTCTCTAATATTTTTTCTTCGAATAGATTAATCTTGATATAGATGTAACCAATGGAAGGTTATATCTCCTTTCCTTTTTTTGGCTTCAGATGCATCAGGACAAGTAGCTAGTATCTTGGAGGTTGTTGAAGAGGAAACTCCAGAAGGTTTGTTTTTTCATTAAACAATCATATAATATTTTGGGTATCATAGCTGGCTAACTGCTACTTGGGTTGCCTCTAGGAGCAGAGCATCTGAGCAAGTAGATACTACTTGTGAAGTTGCTTTGGAATGTACTCTATAATTGATTCTTTGAACCCCACTTTCATCTATTGATGTAGTAGCACACTGCTTTTGTGTTGAAACAGATATGAAAATATCATATAACTTCCAATCTTAACAAATACAATCAACCCAATCTAAAAACTGAACATATACATAAAGGGAATAAAAGGGGAAACTATTACTGTTGAGTTTTGGAGTTCAAATATCCATGGTGGTTTATCATACTAAGGACTATTTCCACTGTTTGTTTTAGGATTTTTTTTCAAGCTAATTAAACACCCAAATTAGAATTCAGCATGATAGCACTTAATCAGGGTTAAGCACCAGATGAATCCCCTAAAGATCTCTATTGAGCGTAAATCAATGAACAAGCAGAAAACCTCTATGCAGCAGTATATCTCAACAGCAGTAATACCCTGTTATAACATGAAGATATGCATGTTTTCATGGGAGTAATATGCATATATCCACATACAGATAGTTTTTCTATTTACGATGATCAACAATGATCTCTGTTGTCCAGTGTGTGCTCTTGACATTCAATCCTTTCCCTGAAATATGGAAATGCATGAAATTGGCCAGCTGCTATTGTTGGATTTGCATCCTTATGGTTTCCTTTTTTATGTTATTTCATGTAGCACCTGGTAAAGACCTTTGTAATGGTGGCATTCCTGGGTCTGGACTACAAAACAAAATGCACAATGCTCAAGGTTTTCTACTCACTCCTTTTGCTAGTTATGATGGGCCTAATGAATTTCTGGAAGTTTCTAGTTGCTGCATATTGAGCTAACATTGTTCATTTATCTTTTAATTTTTCCCATCGATTATACCTTGATTCCTTGCATTTTGAGAGAGCTCAGAGGTGCTACTCTCAATCCTGTGATTGCTTTACTGTTGATTTCCTCTTCTCTAACCAAGACTAATCTTGTTTAGATGGTGGCACGGCTCAAGGCAGCGATATGTGCAATGGCGGAAATACCTCAAGGCGTCTCAATGATCGCAAGAGTGTTATCGTTATCGACTCAGACAGCGATGAAGACGAGGATCCTCACCCAGAGCAACATGAACCAGAACGTGCTGCTCCTCGGGCAGCCATGGACGTGGTCATGGCTCCCACTCATGGTGCTCCGGTAGCCATGAATGGGACTAGTGCTCCCACTCTTCCTTGTGCTAAGAGAGGCAAGAACGGGACTACCGCGCCTAAAGGCCGTGTTCCGGCTATCGCTGCACTTCACGCACTGCAATCCATGAATGCGCCAGGTGAGCATGAATACATATGGAATTACGCGGATCCTCAGGGGAAAGTGCAAGGGCCATTCACAATGGAGCATATGCGGAACTGGCACCGGAATCGTTTCTTCCCTCCGGACTTCAGGGTGTGGAGATTAGGCCAGACACAGAATGATTCCGTCCTGCTAACAGAGGCCATGGGCCTGAAATTTTCTTCTTGACCTAAATAGGCTTTTTTTTTTTCGTTCCTTGCGTTATTCAACAGTGTAGCTGAACCTTAAGCAGGCATCGCTGAAGCTTGAGTTGATGTAAATGTTTAGTTTTGGTCATAGGCGGTTCAGTGGAGATCTTTTTTTTTTCTTTAGTGATGTTTTAGCAGATTGCAATGTCTAGCAAAATTTGCTAAACAAGGCAAACAGAAATGGACAGTCGGTTTAGTGATGTTTAGCATATTCCAATGTCAGACGCTCAGAGCCCCATCAAACAAACAGCAATGGATATACTCCAGTACATAAGTTTTCACAGTTATTTATACAGCATTGGAGTAAAGGTTTATTTTATCGACTTTGCTTTTGACAATTTGTTTTTTCGATTATGTGGTCCGTTTTAACTCTAATAGCAAGCTAAGCCTAGAAATTTCAGTACAGAAGTGAACTAAATATCGTGAAAACCATGTATACACAATAGATGGGTCTTCTTTACAGGAAGCAACTTGTGACATCAATCATTTGGAATCACTACCAGAAAAAATATGCTACGACTAGGATGGAATATACATCTCTTAATTGCCCGGCCAACAAGGATCATGGAACAATAATCAGACCGCCGCATTGCTGCTTAATTGCGTAGACTTACCCTCTCCCAACCCTGACGTGGCGCTGGTTGCGAAAATAGCTTAGAAGAACCTGAGCCTGCGCATAAATACGTATAGGTTTGAAGGAAGTTTTAGGATAGAAATGAGCTTGTCAGTTTTAGGAAACAAGATTATAATACTAACCTTCTCTCTTGCACGGGCTGTGCCTGATTGCGACAATGCAACCAAAGGTGGCACGACGCCTTCTTGAAGAACCAGGGTGCAAAACCTGTTACTGTTTGTGCAGAGTTGTAGCAGGGCAGCAGCGGCATTCTCCTTTGAACGTGCAGAACCCAGCTCAACAACCTCAACCAGTACTCGGATGCCTCCTGCCTGAGCAATGGCATTCCTTCCATCATGCACAGTCGCAAGGTTTGCCAGAACAGCAACAGCTTTATCAACCATCCCAGCAGCTGGATCCATCAGCTCCACCAGGTGGTTGACAGCCCCAGCCTGAACAATGCGGGTCTTGTGTTCATGAAATATCGACAGATTGAAGAGTGCAGTAGCTGCATCCTTCTTCCCTTGCGGGGTACCTTCTCCCAGTAAATCTACTAATGGTTCGATGGCACCGGAACGTCCAATCTTGATCTTGTTCTCTTCAATGACTGAGAGGCTGAATAAAGTTGCAGCTGAGTTGGCTTTCGCTTCGGGGTTTCCCACCTGAAGAACGAAGATGAGAGGCTCAATGGCCTCAGCACTTGCTATGGCAATCTTGTTATTGTCATCCAATGACAAATTCAGGAGAATTGTCACAGCATTTTCTTGTGTGCTGGGGTCTGTAGAATGAAGTAGACTCACCAAGAAGGGGATTGCTCCGCAGTTTGCGATGGCAATTCTATTCTCCAAGCTGTGTCTAGAAAGAATGCGGAGCTCTCCTGTTGCTGACCTTTGGACCTCAGCAGAATCACTTTTCAGTTCCTCGATAAGATTACGCACTTTAGCATCATTGCCAGAAAAATCTGGTTTTGAATCTGTCGAAGATGACAATCCGATCCTAGGAATAGTTTTATTAGACTGTCTCCACCAGTTTGGCTGATTTCGAGAACGAACACCACCCAATCTAGGAGGGTTATCTGATACCTTTGAACATGTGGTGACCGGATCATCTTGCATAACTTCAGATGCATTGATGTCACTTGATGCTTGTACCCTGACATTCTCTCCATCAACTTCAAGTTGATGATGGCTGCTGATATGACTTTTACCATTCCTTTCGAGATACTGTTCCTCATCAGAAACTTGAAAACCATTGTCTCTCAATTGCTTAAGACCATCAGAACGATCAGTTTTTTCATCAAGTAGAGATTTGTTTGCTGCAGTAGTTTCTGTTGATAATCTTAAAGAATCAGGTTCAGAATCATCTGTGTCTCCAAATGATGACACTCTATCATCTGAATCAGAGTTTTCATGTATCAAATTATAATGATGACTATCATCCGATGCGCACTGTGCTTTTGGATGCAATGCAGCTACCAATTGGCAGTGTTCTGGTGATCCAGACTTGTCTGCACTTGCACTTCCATCTGTGATGTTGAGGGAAACAGGGAAGCACAAACTCAAGAGTTTAACAGGATCTGGTAGCATTATACCATGTACCTCACACCAATTTTCAATCAACTGTTTGACAGTGAAGTTAGGAATCAATTTGGTGTGTCCCAATATTTGGCGTGTCTTTGGACAAATGTTGTATCCCAGATCAAACCATTTTCTGATAAAAACATGCTCATACGTTTGACCAGATGCCACAATCACTGGATCCGACATTAGTTCAAGGGAAAGAGGACAACAAAAATCAGCAGGAATGGTCACTCCATTAATGCTACGTGTTTGCTTTTCTTCCACATGTTTGTCAAGCATATGGTTGACTAATTCAACAATATCGTTAATATCATCCATTTCTTTGTTATCTTCATGATTACCTTTTGTTTTAACCTTAACAAGTGCAACATATTCCATCAGCAACTCCTGATTTGTGGATAAGCTCAAAGTAGTTTGAATCTTTCCAAATTCCTCTGAATTTGGCATAACTTCCCCTGCTAAAGCCCTGGAAGCCTCCCTAATGACATCTGAAATTTTTCCACAGCTATCGTGTTCAAGATCCTGCAAGTTGCAAGAAGCACACTGATAAGAAAATCAGATGTCAAAACAATGTCACTGAGAAGATGTGAAAGGATTTTTTTTATCACCTCCAAATGCATTGACTCAATCTGCATGAGAGAATTGACAATTTGGCATAATTCGAATACATATATCTGCATCTTGGCAATAATTGAATCAGCCTGAATAACCTGCACCCAATATATTACTCATAGTGAGTTATTTACTAAGTAGCATATTAAGAAGAATAATAGGGGAAATCCTACTTGGATGGAAATTAAAGCATTGTATATGTAGTGACTAATGAGGGAGATTTATCATGGAAAGGACAAAGTAGTTACAAAATAAATCTTGCTCATCATTTGATTCCAGCCTCCAACTAGCTCAGTCGCTTCATTGATGGTAGCGCCAAGTTCTTCAAGCACTTTACTTAGTTCACCATCTGGAGTAATCTGAGGAAAAGCTCTGTTTAGGGCCACCTCCAAGTGATCAAGGATGCCATCCATCGTTTGGCAATATTTCTTAACTAGCTCTGTTTTCGAGGCATTGCTTGAAGACAGCACCCGGAAATTTGAAATACTATCGAGTAGTGACAATGACACTGAATCCATCACCTACATAAACAAATCAAAAATTAAGTTCACTTCGGGTGCGGAGACAAAGGAACGGGGAAGCTCAAACAGGCTCAGAGTGACTAAACAAACAAGCAGGTGCATTCCACTGTCATTCGAAGTTATGCGTAAGAAAAATAGCTGAGTAATAACAAGCAGGTTAGCATGCACGTTTCAGTGAAAATGAGCTGCTAGCTAACTTCCAAGCATGACTAACCATGCCTTGTTATTTATCTACTATATATGTGAACTAAGATAGACATAAATTCCGTGCTTATACCTGGAACGGAAAGCAACAAATTTAGGCGTGATAGCATCGAAACATCTCGTCAGTGTCGTAAAACAATTGGTGATCATCAGAAATTCAGAACTACTTAGTCCAAACTGTATACAAACAAGCTCACCGAACACGCATTTTTGCCCCAATACAAGCACCGAAGCACTATCCCCACACTATCACAAACCCTAACCGCACAGAAATCTCGAAAACCCCATGCCGTACTTGCCCACCACCACAAACAAACGCCATCACCACGTCCAGTACACACATACATCCACCACCACCAGCGCACCGAACTAAGCTCAAATCTTCCCAAACCCAACCATGGCGAGTTCCACCATCCAAGCACAAAATGCAGCACGAAGCACCCCCACCCCCCCCCCCCCCAACCCTCTCCCTCGATCCCCCACCGCAAGGTAACCAAGCGCGATCACACCACGCGCGCAGAACAGAGCAGAACAGCAGCCAGAGCAGGAGAGGAAGCCCCGTTACCTCGGAGGCCTCCAATGGAGGGGGGAGGAGGAGGATTCGGACTCCCGTGTCGAGGTGCTCGTGGTGGCTCGCGCGAGGCGGAGGCGTCTCGCTTCGCTTCGTCGCAGGAGGCGGAGACGAAGACGAGCAAGGCGAAGGCGACGAGTCGGGGTAGCGTGTGAACACGAGGCAGCAACGACCCACCCCGAGTGGGGGTCGTTGCGGAGACAGAGGCCAAACTAGACCCGGCTCACCGTGAACCGGGAACAGTACTTTCACTGACAGGTAGGGCCCATCTGCAGGTAGGGGGAGGCGTACGGTAGACCGGGTGCACGGGGTGGGCGGATGCGGCTGCAGGACGGCAGCAACTGCTCCCCACCTGAGACCCGAGGGCCCCACCGGCAGTCTCGCAGTGCTGTTGTACCGGCCTGCGCCGACTGACGGGTGGGCCCACCGTTTTCCTCCTCAGGAGGTGGGTCCCACCTCGCTCGCTTTTTTGTGCTCATGCGTCGTGTCAGCGCGTGAGCCGCCGTGTACGGACCGAGGTTTGTGTGCTCGGCTGTGGCTGGCTGGTGGGCCCGGAGAATCACTAGTTCTGGCCCTACTCTGCTAGCGTCAGGATTCAAAAATTGAGCGCATACGAGGGCTCGTTTAGTCGGTGAAATGATGGGTTGTCACATTGGACGTTTGATCGGATGTGGGAAGAGATTTTTGGACATGAATGAAAAAACTAATTTCATAGCTCGTCTGAAAATCGCGAGACGAATCTTTTGAGCCTAATTAAACCGTCATTAGTACATGTGAGTTACTATAACACTTATGGCTAATCATGGACTAATTAAACTCAAAAGATTCGTCTCGCGATTTACATGCAAACTGTGCAATTAGTTTTTCTTTTTATCTATATTTAATGCTCCATACATATGTCCAAAGATTCGATGTGATGTTTTTGCGAAAAGTTTTTGGGAACTAAACAGAGCCTGATATTACAGGAGCAAAGAGCAAGTTTAACAGTATAGCCAATTACTAGCTCCAAATCATCTATAGTCAATTTAATAGCCAATTCATACAATAGTTACTATAATATTAATACCTAATCCCACTTGTCATACACACATTGCATCTTGAAGTCTGTGCTGCAGCTGGTTGTAAATCTGTAGCCCGCTGTTCTTCTCTATCCTATTTTATCTTCTTAAAATATGTTTATAGCTGACTTATAATCTGCTATTTTATCTGCTCTAATGTAGCTATTTCTAGCACAGTAACTTAGTTCCAAAATAAAGCTATTTCTTCACCTACCTCCTCTTCTCAACCAATTACAATCATTATTCTTCATCTCCTTTCTCTTTTCAACCAATCACATACTTCCTTCAATCATTCTCTCCTACTTTCTCAATACACGTGCCAACCTTAAAAATGACTATATATTAGGACGGATAAAGTAGTATAGTAGTCCTAGTTGAATTATTAATATATTTTTCTGCAACAAAAGAATTTCGATAGGTTCATTTAGGTAGAAAATCAACCGTAGAAACATTCTCATGCTTGTGAAAATTATGAGCATCTTTTCCATAGAATGTATACATATACCCACAGATAACTCTGAAACGATGAGCTGCTGTTAAGAAACGACACACGGGGCTAATTAATCAAGTAACTAAAGTAGCCAGCTTAATTAGCATTTATTTGATCCAAAGGACAATGCACGCAGAATGTTGAAACCTGTCCGTGTACTAGGAATCACGACATAACTTGCTAATTAACTACGGTATCCTGCCCTGTCCCCCATTAGTTCATGTATGCATGCATCCAGACTTACTTAACATGCAATGCCACTAATTAAAGCAGAGTTAGACTAATCTGATGTGCTGTACCTCATCACCAAGGCAATTGAGGCAAGTAGGCATAAAACTAATCATATGGAATCATCCAGATCGCCAATACAAAATTACCCCCAAACTGAGATCATGGAGTGTTCGGTTAACCGATGCTTTCATCTCTGGAGCCAAACGCTAATCAGGCTGCATATAATATGCACTTCCTTGTGCCGAGTGATCAAGAGACAGCCTGAGTGAATGATTAAACTAGCTAATGCAAAAGAGCTTTGATTGCTTTCATCTTTGGAAGCATCAGTTGGTCATGAATTTAAAATTAAGCCTGTAGCTTGCAGAGAGCAGCTTAATTTAGCTGACACATATTATATATTGATCCATTGATCAGGATAACAAAGTCATGGTGGTTAAATTAATTTAAGCTGTTTGGATATTATATATACGTGGTAGTGGATATGATGATGCCCCCAGTACTTCATGCATACGTAAACACGTTGCTTCTAGATATAATGCATGTTAAATATGATTCTCTCTCTTGGTAGCTGATACAAACTTTTACCGTAGTTGGTTAACGTGTCTTTCTTGACAAGTTAACTACATAACCATATTGATCATGATGCATGACTGACTTAAGCCCCTACACGCTAATTAAAGGTTTGCTAACTGAATTGAGTAGTATATCTTTCTTACAGAATAATATATATGAATTAATTGAACCTGATAGTTATATATCGTTCCTCCGTTTCGAATAACTTTTGTTTTAGCTTTATTTTAAGCCAAGCATTTCTATCTTTGACTTCCAACTTCTAGATTTTTTTTAACATCGTATTTATATATTTTAATTCATCATAATAAATACTTTCAAAATATGTAACTTTCATGTTGTTAAACTGTACAAACTCTTAGAAATTAATAGTTAAAGATAAATATGAAATGTTTAATTTAGGACGAAGCTAGAATGACAAGTATTAATTTTATTTTTCCTAGCTTGTAAATTAAATAGTCTCTTTAGTTTCATAGTTTGAAGTGAGTTCATTGGATTAAATTAATTACTGTGATGGGTACTTGGAATATATGGTAGATAGAAAATGTGTGGACATTACCAAATGCGTTATATATATGACCGACCGGATTTATATATCGCAATACAGTTCTGGGCGTTTGGAGTTCAATTAAACCATGCATCCATTGTAAATTTTTTAGATACTAGTAGTAGCTAAATGCCAGTGCGTTACAGCGGAGCATGAAAATAGCAAAATTAAGGCCTTGTTAAAAAAATATTTTAATTGATTGAAACACAACCTTTCATCTTAACAAAACAAATAAAAAACCATACTTAGAAAATTGAAGATAGTTCAGACGACTCCCCCATATTCTAATATCTTGGCTCCCATGTCAGTAATGGTGATGGTGATGACTATTATCTTTAAATAGTAGTACATATAATGGAAACTACCAGTTACATGTTTTTTTAGTGGAAGGTGCATATATGTTAAAAGGTACTTAGTAACACATAATAAACAAAAAAAAGTTAATTCTTATGCACGCAATTTTCATTAATTTGATTTTTTTAATGTTTATGGGGTGGGGGAGTTTAGCCACCTGAATTTTCATTGAGATGGATAAAGTGGAAGTTACAGGGTGATAATAGTCATAGAGCATCATACTCTTAGGGAGATACGGAGTAGCAGAGAAAAACCAGTGTTTCCACTGCGTAATTACAGGGCGTTCTTTCTCATTCATTCGCTCCGCCCATTCTTTAATTTGTCATTCATTCGCTCCGCCCATTGTTCTTAGCCATATGCCAGCTAGCTCCCACGTGTTAAAGATTTGTCACTAAAATTTCCTTAGCTAGTTCCTTTAGTCTAACCGGCCTAAAGGTTGATTAGTGGTTAGAATTGTTCCGGGTAGTTATGGTACGTAGAATTAATTTGGAATAATTTTGGATGGCACTAGAGATATGATGTTCCTTTCATGGCTTTTCTTCTTTAATAATTATATAAGTATATACCGGATATTGATTAATATATGAATTAAGATGCTGTGTGTGGGTGTGCGTGAGTGCGAGATGAGTACGAAGACATCAATCGATCGAACAACCCAAGCTAGCTGGCGACCCAATCTTTGGCTGCATATATGCAACTAGCTCGGTGTATAATACAGTGTGTCAGCATCACGCATAGCTAGCACTGGCACGCGGCAAAAGAATTCCTCGGAAGGTTCGGTGTGTTAAAAACGTCCAGATTAACCGAACAGCGGAGGCACCAAGTACAGGGTAAAGAAGAGATAAGCACGCTGTCTACATTACCCCGTGGAATATATTTCATCAAAAGAAAAAAAACTTTTGACTTGATCATATCCAGTCTACACGACGATACGTACAGATGGCAACCTGCCTGTGCTTGCATGCATTTTTGGGCTCCGATCGCATCGCGTACCTGGCGTTTCGAGCACGTACGAAACGCAACTCTTCTTCTCAGATGTAGATGCTCTGCGATATTCCCCCGCCTTATAAAAAACAATCTATTACACATTCTACTACTATAAATCTAAACAATACTATAATATATTAAATTTAAGACCTAGATTCGTTTTTATGGGACGGTAGGAGTACTACCCATACAATAGCAGTGATTGACACATGGACATGAGCGGATCCAGCATGGAGGCAGCGAGGTCTTGTGACCCATCAGTGTGAAGTCGTGAAGACCATGAGAGTCCCACGAAGCCACCATTATAATTTTTTACCATATATGTAGATGGGAGGGAGGATTAATTGTAGTTTTTATCTAGTTTGTTCAGATTTCTCTACTATTTCTTTCTAGATCTGCCACGTGGATCTAAATCCATACGTCGGTGTCTATTACTGTATCATTAGTACTGTAGATAATTCTCACTTCTTCTTCTCAGCTTATCATTCTCTAATCCAACAAAACATTGTGACATTAATTAGATTTAATGACACGTGTTATTATTTTGGCACGAGTTGATAGGAGTACATGATAACATGATCAAAACATTCACCGTCTCGATCAAACTTATTAAAACCGCGCGAACGGTGCAACAAACACGAGAGAGAAAAAACAACAAAGAAGCAAGAGAACTCGTAAAACCTGCCACGAAAGTCACCATTAATTCCTCGAGGCGACACGTCCATCATCGACCACGTCGTGCAATATGCTCTGCACAAATAGCTCGATCGATCCCTGGTTAGTCCAGCAAATTAAAAAAAAATAAAAATAAGCATATTCCAAGCAAGGATAGACACGGACATAGCAGGAAAAAGGCAAAGCCACGCGCGGGAAAAAAATAAATAATTAACTAGCTTGATCTAATCCAATGGTGACTGATCGGTCAGAAAGCAACGTGGGCGAGGCGACGCAGCCATGGTCATGGAGGAGATAGGAGGAAGAAGAAAGGTGGTGTTGACTAACGGCGCGGCGATCACCTAATCGGCATCTAATGCCAAGCCTAATCTCGATTGCTTTATACTGTAGTTCTCAAAAACAATATTAATCGATTGCTTTATCTCGCAAGCTGATCGATCAATTTACATTCATCCGGTATGTGTGTCGCCTTTTATAACTAAAAATGGTATAATGTTGTTGTCATTTTTAGTTATACCGAATCTTTACGCCATTAAATTTTGATATGATAACAATAAGTTTACCATTTGTCCAAATAAATTTTAGCTGTTTTGAGAATTTTCGCAGTTAAAAACTCTATCAAAATTTATCTAGCTTGCCATCACGTCTACCAATAATTTAATAACACGAATGTATATATGCTAAAATTTGAAAATACCAAGTTCTTTAAGATCAAGAGTGATATGTTACAGACTGCACGCATTTCTACATCACGTGTCCTATTTCCTATATGCGAGTTCCAAGTGCTTCTTTACTCGGAAAAGGAAAAAGATAAGGAAAAGAAAAACACCCAAGTGGTTCTTAACCTGGCTACCTTTTTTACCTTTGCCTTTGTGTGCGGCATCTGAATTGAATTTGTTGATCTTGTGCGGGTGCAGGTTTCGGGGTCTAAAATGTGTTCGGTATCTTTTCCGTTTTTCTTCCCTGGTATATGAACTATTAAGCACGTTCGGTTTTTCTTTCATTTAACACCTTGAATTTTCGTTGGTCAAATGTGCAAACTTTCAATGTTGACGGGTCAATGAGAATTTATTGTAGTTAGATCACGAAATCGCATCATTGGATTGTCATCAAAATAGTTTGATAGTTTCATAATTTTTTTTCACGTGTAAGTTGTAGCTGTGAACTTCACGTCATAATTTTGTATGAACCAAAAAATATATAAATGTAAAAAAATGAGGAATAACAACTTAAGGCGGCCGCATTAATTTTTTATTTAAATTAGGAATTGAAAGTTCAATTTTGTAGCGGATACTCCCTCCGTCCCATAATATAAGGGATTTTGAATTTTTACTTGTACTGTTTGACCACTCGTCTTATTAAAAAAATTTGCGCAAATATAAAAAACGAAAAGTTGTGCTTAAAGCACTTTGGATAATAAAGTAAGTCAAAAAAAATAATTCCAAAATTTTTTGAATAAGATGAGTGGTCAAACAGTATAAGTAACAACTCAAAATCCCTTATATTATAGAACTGAGGGAGTACTTAACATGGTTAAATCTATCTAATAATTTCTTAACTCCCCTACGAAGCTTAGGTGTAGTGATAAGAAAAATCGAGAAGGATTGGTACAAGTTAACAACTTAATCAATAGATTGTGCATATAGCAAACAAGTCTATATAATAACACAAAGAGAAAGAAAGAAGACCCATTTTAGTTGATAGTGGTATTATTACCCAAAAATTAAAAATACGTTCAATTTAGACCTACTTTTATAAGCATCATGCCAGCTACAGCTACAGTCACAGCCTCTTTCATCCCTTTTTCTTTCTTCCAAAAAACGCTCACCTGTAGTGATGGATCTATGTGAAAGTTGTGAGGTCGAATGTCGAATGACCCTACAGCTTCTTCACATTCATTCTTGAGTACTAAATTTTTCATGGAAATCCATTCAAATCTACACAAATAATCCCACTGAAATATTTAATAATAATAATCGATCTCACAAAGTAACTTTATCTAATAATTTATTGACTCCGCCACTGAATTTAAGTGTAGTGATAAAAAATCGAGAAGAAGGTTTGGTGCAAATTAACAACTTAAACATGAAATTAAATTGTACATGTAGCAAACAACCTTTATAATAACACAAAAAAAACCATTTTAGTTGAAAGTGGTATTGCTAAAAGAGTTAAAAGTATTTCAATTTAGAGCAACATGCCAGCTACGGCTACAGTCACAACCCCTTTATCCTTTTTCTTTCTTCCAAAATACAAACGCTTACCTTACAGTGATGGTTCTATGTCAAAGCTGTGGGGTCCGTTGACCCCATAGTTTCTTACCATCATCGTTTAGAGTTTCTTAAATTTTCTATATTTATCCGTTGAAATTTACACAAATAATCCCACTAAAATATATAGTAATGATAATCGATGTCACAGAGTAAATTTGCTGGCTCTGCCACTACTCACCTGTAACCCCCCAACTATGCCACCAAACACACATAACTCATCGCCTCATCATCGTCATCTATCTCCGCATGAGACCGCATCCTTATCCCACCACGTCCCCCTCGCGCTCACGCGCACAGCAACAAAGAAAAAAAAAAAAACCCGTCCCTTTTCCCTCGCCGCCCCACCGCTCCCCCACCCCACGTGTCGCCGGCCCATCGGCGGCGGCGCCTGCGTGGGCCGTGTGGCCCACCCTGCGGCCCCTTCCCGAAAACGGAACGCCCCCCCCCTCCTCCCCTCTCCACGTCACTGCGCGGTGGGCCCGCGCGTGCGTCCAAGAAGCGTGACGTAAGCAGTGACAGAATCCGCGCCGCCTCTCGGGGCGCCCACGTGTCGCGGTCAAACGGTCAGCGCGGGGCGGGGGCTCGCATCGCATCTGCTCCACGTGTGCGCTATCGCGGCTGCGGCCGCACGGGCCACACGTGTCGCTTGCCCCCGGCTCTATAAATGCCCGGCTCCTCACCCGGAACAAGTTTCAAGCCCTCCTCTCCTCTTCCCAACACTAGTAGGATAAAGCCACAGAGAGAGCAGTAGTAGTAGCGAGCTCGCCGGAGAACGGACGATCACCGGAGAAGGGGGAGAGAGATGAGCGGCGGTCAGGACCTGCAGCTGCCGCCGGGGTTCCGGTTCCACCCGACGGACGAGGAGCTGGTGATGCACTACCTCTGCCGCCGCTGCGCCGGCCTCCCCATCGCCGTCCCCATCATCGCCGAGATCGACCTCTACAAGTTCGATCCATGGCAGCTTCCCCGTACGATAATCCTCCTCCTCCATCCTCCCAATCATCACCACCATCAACGCCGTCGTGAATTGATTGATTGATTTGGTTTGATTTGTTGGTGTTGTGTAGGGATGGCGCTGTACGGAGAGAAGGAGTGGTACTTCTTCTCCCCGCGAGACCGCAAGTACCCGAACGGGTCGCGGCCGAACCGCGCCGCCGGGTCGGGGTACTGGAAGGCGACCGGCGCCGACAAGCCGGTGGGCTCGCCGAAGCCGGTGGCGATCAAGAAGGCCCTCGTCTTCTACGCCGGCAAGGCGCCCAAGGGCGAGAAGACCAACTGGATCATGCACGAGTACCGCCTCGCCGACGTCGACCGCTCCGCCCGCAAGAAGAACAGCCTCAGGGTAAGCAAAAACCACACCCAAGATTCCATCACTAAATTCATTACTAAATCTGTGTTCATCGTGATTATTGATTAATTTAGTCACCTAATTATTCGCCCAAAACCGCAGCTCGATTCGAACAGCTGGTGGTACTTCTAGATGGATACTACTATTTAGATATTTGATATATTTATTTTGCAACTTGTTTAATCAGCTCATTTCGCTTTCGAAATGAATTGGGAGGATAAGCTTAGCGTGGCCCACGGCTTTGGGCCGCAGAAATTAATTGGAGACGTTGGCTCATCTCATCTCTAGGGCCGCACCTACGTGGTGCAACTTGCGCAGCCACGATCGAATCGTTCGAGCGTGAAACCCATTGCCGTCACCACCTCGCCTCATCCCTTTCAGGGACCAATCGGTTTTTAGCCCTACGCGCCCCTGCGATCGCGACGCCCACGATAGCTAAATCCCGAAAGCAAATAAGCAGTAATCGGACAGCGACTCGACCGGGATTAGTTAAACAATGGCTTGATTAATTAGATGCTGGAATTTGGAGCCTTCTGATAAGTTTAGGGCCTGTTTGGCACAGCTCCAGCTCCAGCTTCACCCCTTCTGGAGCTGGAGCTCAGCCAAACAGTTTCGGCTCCACCAAAACGGGGAGTGGAGCTGGGTGGAGCTCTCTCACAAAATGAACTAGAGTTGTGGAGTTGGGTTTAGGCAGCTCCACAACTCCACTCCAGACTCAACTCCTGGAGTTAAATTTAGGAGTTGGAGCTGTACCAAACAGGCCCTTAGTTTTGCACTTGGTACTTTAATTTTTTTTTGAGTGAGTGTAAATTTGTTTCTAAACTTTGTTTATGAATTTGTTTTGTATTGGTGCAGTTGGATGATTGGGTGCTGTGCCGGATTTACAACAAGAAGGGCGGGCTGGAGAAGCCGCCGGCCGCGGCGGTGGCGGCGGCGGGGATGGTGAGCAGCGGCGGCGGCGTCCAGAGGAAGCCGATGGTGGGGGTGAACGCGGCGGTGAGCTCCCCGCCGGAGCAGAAGCCGGTGGTGGCGGGGCCGGCGTTCCCGGACCTGGCGGCGTACTACGACCGGCCGTCGGACTCGATGCCGCGGCTGCACGCCGACTCGAGCTGCTCGGAGCAGGTGCTGTCGCCGGAGTTCGCGTGCGAGGTGCAGAGCCAGCCCAAGATCAGCGAGTGGGAGCGCACCTTCGCCACCGTCGGGCCCATCAACCCCGCCGCCTCCATCCTCGACCCCGCCGGCTCCGGCGGCCTCGGCGGCCTCGGCGGCGGCGGCAGCGACCCCCTCCTCCAGGACATCCTCATGTACTGGGGCAAGCCATTCTAGACGACCAAAAAAAAAAAAAAACAACCGCATTGGCAGCAATGGTGTCACTGAACACCGTGCAGGCTAGCTAGCTTCATGGCCGGTGAACTTTGACTCAGGCGAGCCGCCGGAGTTGACTCAAAGATAATTAAAAGAAGTGTTTTAAGTGGATTGGATTGGATTAGACAGAGGAGATGAGGACTCGAGAAAGGCGGCGATGAGACCGTGGTTGGGGGGACCCTGGCCTGGACTGAACGACGACGAGGCAGCAGCAGAAAGATGGTGCAATTGCATCGGGTGGCATGTCAGTGTGTGTGTATAGTGGCATGTACATAGTACATGGTGATTGATTCGGTATACAGGGGGCTAGCTTTCCTGTTTCTGTTTCTTCATTGGTTAATTATTACTCCCATTATAAGGTCTTCTTCAGGGTTGCTAGCTTAATTAATTAATTAATTAGCCCAGTGGTTGAAGTGTAAGTCAAAATTCATCAAGTCAGAGACTGGAATAATACAATACAGTACTGTAGATATCTTTTTTTTTTTGGTAGATGCTGATGTCTGTTTGTTAGCAATGGAAAATAAAATGATGGAACCATGCGAGGAAAAAGCGTGGAATTAATACAACAGACGCATTTATTTTCCAACCGAGCTGCACATCACTACAGCTGGAGATGATCGATCAGATGAGCGACCAAGCAAAATAAGCTTGGGCGCGAAGGAAATCAAACGTGCCGCTCTGGGCGGAGTGAGGAAAAAACGTGAGGAATTGGAGTGCGCGCGTAGACGACATATGGGAGAGACGGGTGGATATGCACGCATTGAACGATGAGTGGTCGGTCGGTTCAATGCGCACGTGTGGGGGGCGGACGTAGTTTTGTCTTTGAGGGTTCATGGGGCGGTGCGGTTGACGACGTTCTACATGCGGCCTCGTGCTTATCGCCTCCGGTTAGCCGGCGTGTTCCCATTCCTGTTCTCCAGGATATGCTCCTGCTATACTCTCTCCGTCCCATAATATAACAATCTAGCCTGATTAGACATTTTATAATCTCGTCTCATAATATAACAACCTAAGACTAGATTAGATATTTTATAATACGATGAATGAACGAAATGTCTCGTCCGGTCCTAGATGGCTATATTATAGGACGGAGGGGTAAGTATATTGCACATTAGCACATATAAATCAAGTCATATTAGGCAGATTTTATTCCGAAGATTTACTCCCTCTATTTTATATTATAAGTCGTTTGACTTTTTTTTCTTAGTTAAATTTATTTAAATCCGATGAAATTTGTTGGAGTAATTTTCATCTGACTGGACCTAACTCCTGTAGAACTGAGCAGCAAAGCAAATAGCGCAATGGATTTATCCAGGAGTAGTGAAGCTAGCCATGGTTTTCAAAAAAAGAAGCTAGCCATACTAGCTCATCTCGTCTAATCTAATCCATCCTGCCATCGACGCTTTTCCTCCTGTACTCCTGTGCACAGCCACGGTCCCGGACAAAACTGCTGACTGCTGCTTCCAGAGATAAGATCCATCCACCCGTTCAAATTCACTGCATCCGTCGTTCTCAGCCGGCTGTAAACGCGCCCACAAAAACAAAAAAAGCGGCGTCACTTTCCTCGAACTTTCCGGCGACGTTTTCGTCCGTTTGCACGGAGAAATTCAATGGTTCTCACCCATGTATGAGTCCATGACGACCCCATCTCGTCTCTCTTCTTCCTTCCCGAGATCGCGTCGCCGTCCTCGGCCGCATTTCTGACGCTACGTTTTTGAACGGAAGCGGCCCGCCGATCGTGTGCTGCTACTGTTCACCGGTTTCCAACCCGAAAACGGCGTGAACGCCTAGTACAGGTCGTATGTGAAATTCTTACCGGGACTCGGGAGTAACCGAGCATGAGCTTGTTTAGTTCCCAACTTTTTCTTCAAACTTTCAATTTTTCCATCACATCAAAACTTTTTTACACACGTAAACTTCTAACTTTTTTCTTTAAACTTTTAATTTTAATCAAACTTCTAAATTTGGCATGGAACTAAACACACCCATGGGCTGTGTTTGGAACCCTAGGAGTTTGTTTAGTTCACGAAAAGAAAATTTTTGAGTGTTATATCGGACATTTGACCGGATGTCGGAAGGGGTTTTCGGACATGAATGAAAAAAACTAATTTCATAACTCGCTTGGAAACCGCGAGACGAATCTTTTGAGCCCAATTAATCCGTCATTAGCGCATGTGGGTTACCGTAACATTTATGGCTAATCATGGACTAATTGGGCTCAAAAGATTCGCCTCGCGATTTTTCCCATAACTGTGCAATTAGTTTTTTAATTTATTTATATTTAATACTCTATACATGTGTCTAAAGATTCGATGTGATGTTTTTAAGAAAAAGTTTTTGGGAACTAAACAGGGCCTAGGTTTCCAACCCCTTTTCCTCGTATTCCGTACACACGTTTTTTAAACTGTTAAACGGTGTGTTTTTATGCAAAAAGTTTCTATATGAATGTTTCTTAAAAAAAATTATATTGATCCATTTTTTTTAAAAAAATAGCTAATATTTAATTAATCACGCGCTAATACCTAGGGCATGGGTTAACAACCTCTATACACGAACAAAGCCTAAATGGTTAGTCTTGTGATTGTCCAGACTAATGGAATTTTCCTATAGCTATAGGCCTCAAGTGTTAGAGAAGGCTGAGATTTTGAGATACTAGTACATGGCTAGCTGGTGATCAACAAAATAGTTGGGCTCCCAACTTCAACTTTTCTGAATTTTGTATACTACTAGAAAAATATTTTTTTCAGGCAACCAAAACACGTTTATGCAAATGACAAGACCCTCCACCCGCAATTTAAGACCTATGAAAATAATTTTCACCGGCGGACCTAATGTTACCCCGTCTAAAAAAAGTATTTTGGGCAAAAAAGAAAAAACAATTTTCACTGCATGCAAGCATCGGATTTAAATCAGAATCAGATCCACTGGAACAAACAAGAACAACATATCCACATGAACAAACAATAACATGTTACAAACGATTTTTTCAAGTGAACAAAAACGTTTATGCATGCAGGCAAACTCTCTGCCTGCAATTTAAGGCCCGTGAAAATCTATAGTTACGTAACTACATATTTAAGTTCTAGAAAAGTTACGGCTGTTAGAAGGGATAATAATCTCCTGCTGCCGAACGAAAGAACCTAGGCCGATTGTACATCGAACTAGTAGAGCAGGCAAAACAAGGAGAGATGCTGAGACCTGTAATGGGCTTCGGTGAATATGCTCTATAGCCATGTGTTTGTTAGACCCAATATCAGCCCATCATGTTCATAGAGCGAAATAGAACTAAATTTCCGGCCCATAGACATGGATGGCATAACTGGGCCCTATCACAGATCAGCTGGATGGGAAAAAGTTCACTTTCAGTCTCTGAAACGCAAAACTTTGCATAACAACTCCTCTGACTATTAAAAACGATGAAAATGACTTTCATAGCAATATTGATAGTGGTATTCACTGATATGACGTCCATGTGGTAGCCCAATCACTAAATATTAAACTTAAAAAAGAATTAGATGTGGGGCCCATGTGTCAGTGCCCTTTCTTGTTCTTCTCTCTTTCTTCTCTCCTTTTCCCCAACCATGGTGGCAATGCAACGCACGCTCACGAGCCCTCCTGCTATGCCGCAGCCTTCTCCTCCTTCTCCGGCATCGGCTTAGGCGGTGGTGGCGCCAGCCGTAGGCATGGGCGTGGCCTACCGCCCTCCGTGACGGTGAAGTGTCAGTGTCGCTAACCTCAGCTTCCGCAGTTTGCAGATCATGTGGCATTGCCTAGTGAAAGCGTTCTAGTAAATTAGTAAATGTGTTCGCCTATTTTAACAGAGATCAGCTGCTGAAACCAACTTTCCCCATTGCATTTTCAAATATTCAATTTGCACAATCATCACAGGCGATCATCACAGGTGCGACTTAAGGGCTGCCACCGCCGCTTGCTCCCTTCCCGCGGACGGGGAGGGTGAGCTTGAGTTCGATGGGTTTCAATGACCACTGTCGCTGCCATCGGAAGCTCCTTGTTCGATTCTGAGGGGATTGAAGAGGATTGGAGATGATTGAGGGGGAATAATTTTACATCACAATAGGTGTGAAATAAATCCCCACCAATTCCTTCCTTAAAGGGATTAACTGAGTAAGGCCTAAAGGGGGAAGACGAAGGGAGGGAGAGGAGGAAGGAAGGGAGGTTGAGGATGACATATGGGCTCCACGGAATATTTCCAACTTCCATGCTAACTCAGCGTTTCTGACCATGGTCAACGTACCATACTACCATGTCACTCAATACCACCCTCAATACTGCCATATGAATTATTTCGTACCAGCTTTAGGACTTGGTGGGGATTATTATACCTGATTTGCGGTTGAGGAATATGAGTAAAATCCAACCAATAATTGAGAGAGTAAAAGTGGACTTTTTCCTCAACTGGACGCATCGTTTCTCTGTTGGGCCCAAGTCCACTGTGGGTCTCAGTTCTTCCTGTAGAAGGCTAACTGCAATTTTCAGATAAAACAAGTGTTAATAAATCGTGTGCTTTTTTTTAATCCAAGCTTTACCTACTACTAGTACTACTCATACCTGCACTGTACCAATCGTAATTCGTAGGAGTTTGTCTAAAGAGAAGAGAACAAACGTCTTGTCAGAGTTGGTGATTATCTAAGAGCAAGGCTAATAGTGAAAGTAGCAGTCGGCGGTAGTATTTATCCAGGTCATCTAAAGTTAATACTATATATTGTTTATATAAAAGATTGGCTCTAGATTGGCTTTACGGAAACAAGAATAGGTTTAATTGTTGCATGTACAGGTGATCAAAACTAAACTCCATCTCTGTAGCCCATCCTGCTTCAGCATGAAACTAAACTATACTTGGAACCACACACTATGCATATGCACATAAGATCAAGTAGCTGAACTATAGACCCACAAAGTGAATAAAATATTTCATCTTGCCTAATTTACCGTGCTATCGTCCGGCGCTTGCAGAAGCGCTCGCTTCGCTCTCTCTCATGCTTTCTCTCTCCTCTACGTATGATAATGCTGATGTGGTGCTTCTTATAGCCGGCTGAGCACAATACTATTATACCTTCTCTCAAGTTAGATTCAGAGAGTTTCAGACGGATCATGCCGGAAATCAAAGAGCCGGACGTGATCGATCTGGTCGCAGAATAACCGGCGGATTTCCTCTTGCGGTTGGATGGTCGCGCACCATGGCACGGCGCTAGCTAGCGGAAGAAACGCCCAACGACAAGTCAAAAAGCGCGTGTGCGTATGTGATTTTGGCAGAATTGGCGTGGTGACATGTGAAGAAAAAACAATTCAGCAAGCCGCTCGGTTGTGGAGTGCCAACTTCGCAATTGAGTAAGTCCTCCCTCCGTCAAAAAAAAAAAAGAAAAAAAAAGATAAACCCTGTTTTCCATGCTCAACGTTTGACCATCCGTCTTATTTAAAAAAAATATAAAAAAAATTAAAAAGATAAGTCACGCATAAAATATTAATCA